GGGGGGGGGGAGGGGGAAGAAGAAATGTCTAGATAATACTGCATGAATAATGTGCGCGAATAATTCTCAAAATAATGAATACAAGTTTAAAATCGAAGTTATTAAAAATACATGTGCTGGTTTTAACGCAATAAGAGCTAGACATACTCCATAATGAAGAAAATTTGAGGCACTGATCTGCAATGATGCCAATGATGGCATCGAGTCACACACAACGCATACAAGAGTCGCGTGTCCGTGCGCACACAGCTTCGATAGGCCGTCCTCGTCGACGAGTCAGCCGTAATAATAATCGTGGTTAACGATAACTATCGGGAAAGCGAGACGGTGGATACGTCGATCAGCCGAGGACGGCCGACCGAAGCGTGTGCGCACGGACACGCGATGCTTGTGTGCGTTGTGCGTGACTCGGTGCCATCGTTGTCATCACTGCAGATCTGTGATACTTTGGATGATCTGCATTAGCTCATAAAGCCTAATTGAAAATTTCAGGTGTATAATACACAAATGAAAGCAAAGAACATATGTACACGTGAACGAAAAAACTCAGTTTTACTGGTAAGTGAAAATATTTGTCTGTAAGCACCTTTGCACTACGTGATGTTTATTAGGTATGAAGTGCATAAGTTCCATAGTTTCATTTTCATTCGGGTTCAATTTTTTGTCCCTTTGGAAATGTCTAGACGGTACAAGTAGCTGTCCATAGGATATTTCCTACAATGTTAAAAATGTGTATTATCACTGTGAATTTTCCAGCAATTTAGCCTTGAAAAGTTGGATGAATGAAATATTCTGTTTCAGTACTTGGCCGTCTTTCGCGTATTCTATACCCAATAATCCAAATGGATCAACATTGTCTGTGATCGAGGACAGTGGTCTTTGAGACGAAACGTTTTTCCTTCGACCTGTATCTTTACGTAATTCCGACCTGCAAATAATATCGCAATATCAGTGTGAATTTTATTAGGTTAGCCGCTGTATCACATTATCCAGAATAACGTCGAATAAATATGACGGATATTTCAAAGTTACATCACAGTGTGACGTACCCAACCCTCTCATCTCGAAGCATTTTAAATAAGAATAATTGTGTCATGTCGTAAATAATAATATACACATATACGAGATATCTTAAGACTGTCACACTCTTTGCGAGTTACAGATACTATAGTCAAAACTAAAGATATATAATGGCAGTTACTTAAAAATCGAAACATATCAGTGTTTTTAAATTCACCAAAACAACGACAATTGAAGTATAACAAGCGCAATGTTTTTACCAATATCATTATCTGTCAGACAGACTGATTAGATTAGTCGGCAATAAAGCTGGACAGAATTCTATTGTTAGATACAATAAGTGCAATAAGTTGATATATTTCCCAAGATATCAAATTGTTAATATCAAGTAATTATCTATAAGAGTGTTTGTTTGAAAACAGACTTAAGAATAACATTTTAAAAATGCTCCAAATGAAGGATCGTTTTCATCGCAGTATATTCCCTTATCTACGTTGAATGTAAAATTGGCCTGTGCTTTAAACAACAATTCCTTGTCTCTTCTGCAAGTACGTGCGTACTGACGAATCTTACCAACTGGTACGTTGTCCTTTATTGTATGGTATGGCAGAAAACACTACAAATGGCACATGTTGGTTTGATACCAAAACCATTCTGTCGTCCCCGAATTTGTAGCCATTCACAGGCCGCTGTATCAAACGCAATTCCTTCGTAACTTCTGGTATTATACTACTATTTGTAGAAACAGTTTGCACATTGTTCACTGCCTTTGTCTTTGGTTTCAACGATTGTGCCTTCGAATGTACGGAGCCGATACTTTCGCTGCTACTGTTATATTGATGCTTAATATCCTCCGATAGCGTAGAAGTTTGGTGACTTATACGCTTCTTATATTGCAGAGAACCCACACGTCTTTCTGGTAAAGAGTAGTCACTTCCGGTAGTTCCCGTTCTGGAAATATAGATATGATTAAAATGTGTAGAAACATCTAAGATATACTAAAGAATTAATGAAGAAAAAGAGATGAATTTTTATACAATACAAATCATTATTCCTTTCTTCAGATAGCTGTATAGTACTTATATTTGTGCCAATTGACGATTTATTGATCATTATCGATTTTCCATTAAATTACTTTAATTTTCACGATGTATACGATGGCATGTCAATTTAATTTATCATTATTTAGACATGTCATACGAAATAGAGATAACTTAATATAAAATTGTCAATAAGATACATGTATTAAACAATTGTTTTGCAAACAAGGGCATCGATTCTCTAATTATTCAATTCAAACTTTCTATTAGAGAAACTGCAACTGAGTGAAAGAATTGGAGGCGTAGAAACACATCCTGCATGTAATATATACCATATGTAAACATGAAACGAATGGCATGCAGTCGAGAGTTTCTTGTTTGCTGTTTATGATACTTATAGACGTTTTTGATAATGTTATCTGAATCCACCGAGTGTCATTCAATCCTATCTGTATCAAGAAAGTCTTTGGGAATGAAATATTGTTGTGAGAAGACTTTCAAATACCTCAATTTATTCACATTTCTCGCTATTAAATACGAATATAGAATTTTTACAAGACACGTGATAGTTACATAACAGATTACTTTTAAATTTAGTATATGTGCATATATGTATATCTAATTTTACATCATCTCAGTATTACAATTTCTAAGATTATCTTAATGTGACTTCTTGAAGCTATTATGATATAAAATTATGATAGGCACTGTTGAAATTATATAACAAAATATATTTTACATTATACACGTATATATACATATTAGTGCTGTTAAAATTTGGTTTTCCTTGTATTAGAGTATACTGTAATGGTTTTATTTATTTGTTATTGCATTTCTTTAACTCAAATTAAGAATGTAACAAATAATTTTCCACCATATATACATATATTTGACTTATATCCAATGATATAAAATTGAATAATACAAAAGGAACGTAAGAGGAATGTAAAGAAACTTACCGTTCTCTAAATGAGCCATGCATGCCAAAAGAGAATTGCAGATGATTCCTCTCCTGCTCCAAGAACATGGCAACTGCTGCTTTTGCAGGGGTCAACACACCATCCGAATCAGAACTGATGGAGTTGTGATCCGTACTCTTGTGCATCAGCTGCGGGGAGTTGGTCTGCTCCGTCACTTCATTCTGCGGGAAGTCATACGTAGTCTCCTCGGGGCAATCGTCTAGAACCTCCTCCATGGAGACCTCAAAGTCAGTGCTCTGACACGTATCAAGCACTGCCTGTTGATCTGACTGGCCATCGCTGAGTATACGTGCGTGTGTCGGTCCATTTCGTGACAGGACGGCGAACTTGGTATCACGGTGGCTGCCGTCGAGGGAGATGTTAGACAAGAATGTTAGGGCGGCCAATCTTCTGCGTGAGTGATTTTTCTTTAGGGCCGCTGCCATTCCACGGTATACCGTGCTGAGATACCGGTGCAATCGAGTACCAAGACAAACAACGACAATGTGTGCCCGATGACAGTGGCGATGGCAACGTCGGCGGTGACGACGACGACGACGACGGCGGCGACAACGAAGACGACGACGAAGACGACGACGAAGACGACGACGAAGACGACGACGTCGGCAACGACAGCGACGACGGCGACGACGACGACGACGGCGGCGGCGACGGCGGCGGCGGCGACGACGACGACGGCGACGACTTTATCGAACAAGAACAACTACTAAGATCACAACGCATTGTCACTACTGATGTACTTAGTTCTAGCATCGTCATTTTCAAACGTAGCCGTGCACCACACGTATAAACGTGAGCCGGTGTCGTTGATCATCATGTCGTTTCTTCTACCGAGCTGCTTCACGATCTCACAGTTGTTGCTTACTCAACGACCTTACCTAGGCTACTACGCAACAGCGCGACCGATCTCCCGTCGCTGGAAGAGGAAGGGGTGAAAGATACTCGATCGATGAATCGGTGGTCGAGTTGCATTCTCGTTCAATTCGATGGCTCGATTTTTCCTTTAACTCGAAATATCTTGACGAAAATTAACGACAACATTAATACAGCTAGTGTGGTTAGAAACTAGAAACCTCAAGCTTTAAAGTGCTTCTTAAACGATCTTCATAGCGTCGTTTTTACGAAAGTTATAGCTTGTTGAATTTCGCTTGTTTTTATTGTAATGGAAAGTATGTCTGACCAACTCTTGAGTCAGACATACAGAAGTACGTCTGATCTCATCGTTTAGTCATATCACGACCTCAGTTTCTCGTTAAGGAAAGTGACGACTCGTAGCGGAGATTCTGGAACTAAATTACAGAAATAACGGATCTAATAATTCCGTTTTATGTGTTCCGAAATATGAGAAACAAAAACTGTTGCAACCATTCTGTGACCAAGTGTACGACGAGTTTGTCGGATTGGCGGTCAGATAGAGAATTTCTGGTGTGTCTGGAGAAAAATTTAGGAAATATGACGCCAATCTCTATATCTTTTTATTCTACGGCACCTGTCCGACACCTCAACGGTCTTTATTTGAAAGAATCAAGGGAATCACGTTATTTCGATTAGAAATCTTTTAAGAAATCAACATAGTTATGTCGGAGATTAAGGACGATCCGCGAGAAGTTCTCGTTCTTCTAAATTCATTGGGATTTGTCGGCATTACGGCAACTCAACTAAAAGCTTTTATGAAAGGTAACTATCGCTGCTTACAAAGTTTTATTTTTTCATCTGTCCACTTTGTTTATATTTCAAAGTTAAAATAATACTGTTTTATTATTGCAACGAGACTGATGTATACGTGTGAAATATCTTATCAAGGATTAATATGATTTAACTTTTCAGACTTAAAGATTTACAGAAAAATCAAAGAACGTGAGAAACAACAACGTAGAGAAGAGATGAAAGCTAAAATAATTAGCAAGCAGCAGGCCTTGATCAAGGAAGCTCATGGACACCAAAACACAGACTATCCTTCAAATAACATTACACCTTCCGAATCTTCAAATTCTTTTGATAATGAATCGTTGATAAAACTCAGGATAAGATGTATTCCTAAAGAGAAAGATATGCAATTCCAGAAGCATTCTAAAGAAACTATTCTGAAATTAGACAAGGAACTCACAGCAACAAAGTGTCACAAAGATGATGTCATTCAAGAATCTGATAGAATTTATCGTGAACCAGATCGTTTCGATGCTAAATCATATTTAATTAAACATCCACAAAGTGAAAGCAGACGAAATGTGTCCAAGTATTTAACAAAAGATAGTCATTCAACGGACAGATGCAAGCATGATGCAAAATTGGAGGAGCAATTAAAACCGGTAGTTTCAGTACAGGAATATCCAGTAAATAAAGCTGTTTCATCAGACCATGTGACCAAGGCGCGAGTAAAGAGTGCTACATCAGAACCAGCTGGGAACGTACGCACGCAAAGCGCTCTATCTACAAGATCGTCTGTTAATTCTACACGTAAATCATGTTAGTTACATATAATTATATATACAACTTGGTAAAATTTTTAAAAATCTCTGTTCATCTGTTTTCTTTATGTTTAGTTATTCGGCCATGGAGATTGCAGTCGGATGCGCAGAAGAATGTAATCAACAAGAAGTGTGATCCTGTCGCTCTTTACCAAAAATATCAACAAGAATGGGAGCGGATATCATTCCCTGGAGAAGCAAAACACTCAAAAGTAAGATGGGCTGTACGAGTAAAGATGCTTGGTACAGATCCACATCCTATGGTAAGGCTTTGTGAATTGTTACAATATTTATCATAAATAATAATATATTGTGCCATTAACAAATGCTTTACTTCTCAGCCAGTTCCGAGGAAATCTACTAATATGCCGATATTAAAGAAGATGTGATGATATATATATATACATAGGGAGAGAGATGGGAGATTTAGGAGTGCACAGGAAACTGATTCAACCAAGGCGATAATAATCAGACTATTGTATTATACATATATATTTTTTTAATGATACGCTAATTAGTGGTGCGCTAAGTAATATTTAAAGATGTACAAGTAATCTGTATATATGTATAAAACAGTTAGTTACATTAGAAATTGCTGTTTTTCAATGTTGGTTAATTTTAAATGGAGCTAATATTCTCCTGGAATCTGATCTGTTAAATTGGAAAATTAATTTTTCTTCTATTAATCTAGCTGCCTTTTCTGTAAGCACCAGAGTATCATGTTTCAGCATGCTATACACGTTCAGACCTGCACATACAGGATTCAAATTTGATTAAAGTTTCATATAGAATATACATAAATCCTGGAATATTCCCTATACTTAGAAAGAATAAAGATCAATAATAAGTTACAGCTTGCACAGCCAGGCTTATATACATGTCAAAATTTGTCTTTAATATATATATATATATATATACACACATACACACAAATATTATATAAATATACTCACCATAAACAGGCATGAGATTAACATGTTTTATCGTATCAGTAGCCAACGAGATGTTTTTAGGCATAATATCATAAGAATCCACCATGAGAACGGATGGTCCCCAGTTTCTCTCCTCCATCAGTTGCTCGATATAGGAAGGTTCCGATGTAGGAATCTCTAGGTTGTCGACTATGTGCAGATCATCTTGTGCAAGTTTCACAGATAACATCGATGTGAGACCAGCTACGCGAGTGAAGTAGGGTAACATATAAAAATGTGGTGTCGGGGAACGAGGACCGTGTGCTCGTCCACCACCTACAAACAATGGTGAACGTATACTCCCATGACGAGCTCGTCCTAATCCTTTTTGCGGCCAAGGTTTTCTACCGCCACCTCTGACCTCAGCACGCGTCTTTGTATTCGCATAAGACTAAACGCAGAAATATAAACAATCGTATCACGTATGACATGTAAACAGCGATTACTTGAGGGTATATGATATCATGAACTCACCACCCAGCGGTACATCTTTTGCCATCTCACATTTTGATGAATGATATCGATACGTGGGGTGGCCGCAAAAATTTGCGGATGTAAAGTGACGAAACCCAGCTTCTTCTCCTTTACAGTATCTAAATTCTCCAGCCACACCTGCCGGGGTTTCTGATAAAGCGTGCTTTCATCGTCATACCGTACCTCCGATATAATCGGCACGATATCCTGCGCTTTCGTTTGATTTTCAACGATCGTGCAATATCTTAGCGCTTGACGAGTAGCTCCTTGCAACTTGTTAACGACTTGCCGAAATATCATTGACATTTTATCGAGAAAGATATTAATCTTGCGCGAAATAAACAACACGGCTAATAGCCTGACTTGGATATACTTGGATCAAAGTGTGACTGTGCTATGTGAGGTTATGTTGTAGGCAGTGAAGGAAAGGTTAGGTCGAATATGTAACCTAACTCATCGCGTGGCCGCCAAATATGATTACTTACTATCCGTGAAATATATCAAGACATATGTACACAAGTAAAATTATATAAATGACAAATAACAGATGATGAGAGATTTCGCAGACAGTGTGGCGGAACTTTGCATAGAGAAATATAATTCTCTAAAGAAGACTGGCAAACCGGCAGCTCATGAATGGACCGTGTTATCCGGCATCATTCTAAGAGACGCCGACGGATCGTTGTCCCTCGCAGCACTCGCCACAGGGACGAAATGTTTGGGACAATCGGAATTAATGAACAACTGCCAAGAAGAGAGAGGTTCACGATTAAGTGACTCGCACGCGGAGGTTCTGACCAAGCGTGCGTTTCAACGTTATTTGTACGATCAGATTAACTTAACTCTGAGCGGCTCTGAGAGCGCAATTTTTCAGAGAAATGACAGAAATAATGTAGAACTGAACGATAGTGTGTCGTTCCACTTCTTCTCGAGTCAAACGCCTTGTGGAGATTGCTCAATTTTCCCTAAAGATGAAACTTTCAAAGATGGTGTGCCTCCGTCTAAGATCAGACGACTTAGTGAGGATACAAATGGACGTATAATTACAGAATCATCTTGTAAAGACATATATAGGACAGGCGCAAAATGTGTGAAAGGAGAAGAGATACAAGATCCTCATTTGCCTGGTGTAAATTATCATATAGTAGGTCCTCTGCGTACTAAACCAGGCAGAGGAGATCCCACAAGTAGTTTGTCTTGTTCCGATAAGATAGCTAAGTAAATTACAAACAATATTCACAAATAGAAATGTTATATATGTATAAACTGATAAAGCATTTGTATCTAAGGTGGCTCATTCTTGGATTGCAAGGATCATTTCTATCACTGCTGATACCACCGATAAAGTTAGAAAGTATCACGATTGGAGGTGATTGTCCTTTTTCTCTGGATGCGATGGAACGTGGATTGTACAAAAGGTTTAATGATAAAATAGATGGACCCAAGATCCTTCAGGCAAAACTTGGTTTTACACACAAGAGAGGACAAGAACGATTACATCCCTGTCCAACTAGTATTATATGGTTTGCTGGAAGGAATAGGTATGAAAAATGAATTTATAGTATTCTGACATATATCTGCATTGTTTGATCAATTTTGTATCACTTACAAAATTGCCATTTTACACACAGTGCGCTAGAAGTGTCAGTTGCCGGCAGAAAACAGGGAATGACGAAGAAGAAGAAAGGTAATAATTTACTCGTAAGTAGACGAATGCTCTTGCAAACCTTTTTGCAAATTTTGGATAAGTATCAAAGTTACTATAGTGAAATAAAACATCCAAAGAAGATCATGTATTATGACTGGAAACAATGGTCGACGATGTATCAAAACAAATGGAAACAATTGAAACTTGAAGCATTCCATAACTGGCCGTATAAATCAGCACATTTGCGAAATTTTGCATTATGAAGTCATTATTTCATTAATGTAAAATTTATAAACACGTTTTATATGTTGCAACTATATATATATATACACACACATTGTTGTATCAAGTATAAAAATATATTTTATATAATTTTATTATATTACAAAGTTCGTTTACTTATATTGGTGTAACCTATGCCTAAACAAGTTAAACGCACCTGCGGTAGCACTTCGTCTTCTTCTTTAACTGGTTCTATTTTAAAAACAATTCCAAAGAAGTCTCGCAGGTCTCGTAAAAATTGTATCCTGGAAATTCAACAATCTTGTGCATCTCCTTTGTTACATAACTTAAAAAGAAAAAAATAAAATACGATAGTACTCACGTTATTGGAGTTAATGGACCTACTGTAACTTTGGAAATGTCCTTTTTACCAAGAGCCATAAACGCCGCAGTCATACTTTGGAAAGGAGAGTCGACACATCCATTCCTATAAATTTATAAAATTATAAGAGAGTTTAAGCTCTCCCTCTCTCTCTCTCTCTCTCTCTCTTTAAAGAGAGTAAGTAAATTCTTTTACCTATAGATTTCATCCAAAAGTTTCATCGCGGCTTCTTTGCCAATATCTTCAGGCACACATGGCAATGAACCCGTCGTCATTAACGGCGAAAATGCTTGCCCGCTGAAGAATACTTCTTTAGTAGTTTCTGCTGTCAGAGTGACTCCAAAACCTAATGTATAAATCATGCATAATAACACACCTACGATAAATATTAAGTTGACAAAATATGATTGCAAGTCAACCATACCCGGAGACTTTCCACTGGCTGATCCTTTGCAGTGATCTGTATGAATATAAATATCCGGTAGAAAGTTGAGGAGAACACCTTTCGCTGATTCAACAATACGATTAGCAATTGCCGGAGATACTCTTATGCTGCACGCAGTACCTCTAACACGTTTCACCATCCCGCTGTCTTCTAGCTATATAATATTTCTCGAGAAATTAGTGAGATGTTATTGAAGTATAGAATGCAGATGTGTGTACAAGATTGATACAAGTACCTGTATTGTTTTAAGATTACGACTGATGGGACATTTAAAGTGTATTTCTCCACCTCCCAAAGGTGCTGCTCCTCTTTTGCGAATATTGAGTACGACTTCATTGTCACCTGCTAAAAATTTCTTCAGTATTGGTATACCAGCAGTCAAAATTCTATCCACTGATGGATCTGCAATTATTTACGTAAATTATGTTAAATAATAGCTGATGTATATAAATATATATCTCATTAACATACTGTGTACTATAATACCTGCAGAATTATTGGTTATTCCCCTAAGCTTCAGGTCGATAGGTATCTTACAAAATGGAGCTAGTATCATAATTCCTTCTAAGTAATATCCAATACTCCTTTGCAAACTGCAGTCATGGTCTAATTCACCGCCATATAATAAGCCGGGACTGTAATATAAACTGGTGCCACTTTCATTTAGCTCAATTCTTGTACCGTTGGTGACCTTATCCAGCAAACGGATGAAACTAATTTCATACTCTATCATAAATAATAAACATAGTTATTCTTATATATAATATAGCTACTAATGATATTACACACATATATATATTAGAGTTAAGAGATTTTTATATCAACTATATAAAAATATAATCAATTTGAGTGTAAAATTTCATAACACTGTAACCTAACCTCTGAGACCAGGATCATTATCTTTTGTTCTAATGTCTGTAATTCTTACTGGCTTTCCAGATAAAGTTGACAACAATAAACGGTATCTCAGGCAATTATTGCCTTCATATGTAAGCACTCCGTTTTTTACTTGAGCTGGCATTTCTTAAAATTTTCGCGAATGCAGCATCAACAAATTACATACTATTCAAACACGTGTTATTCTTTCAAAAAGGATACGATCCACTTAAAACGCTTTGAAGCATTTGGCATCACTATTTACAACATGTGGACCCATAGAGATGTTTTCAAAAACCCTACTTGATGGATAAATAACCACTTAAGTGACCAATCAAGATAGGAAGAGCAAAGATTCCTTTATTATGATTGGTTAATAAACGGTACCTGAGGATCGAGTAGGATTTCTGAACGCAGCTTAGTTTGCGACCTCTCTTTTGCTTCATAGCAGACGATAGTGTGATACGGTTCTTGTCAATTATGTGGAAATATTCTCCAAATTATACGGAGACTTTTATCTTAAATAATAAATATGTGCAAATGCGTTAAAAATGAACTTATACAGTGTAAATAACAAATTATTGTTTTGACTACCACTTGCACCTTGTTTAAACATAATGAACAAAACCAAGTTGCAAGATATTTTCTCAAGGGGGCTTAAACAAGCCAGTAGAGTTAATATTAATAACACCAACAGTTTTAAAACACCATCGAGAACGTTATTATATACCGTATGTAATAATTACAGTACGTCTTGTGCAAATACTGCACAAGATTTAGACTTTGACCGTCAACAGCCGGTATTGCTAAATAATGTAATAAAACGATATAGTTCAATACAACAAAGTAATTTTTCCTACATGTCTCATCCTCGGATTATTTCTCCTATAATTTTATGTAATGGAGATAGATATGTAGGATATAAAATTTATCACGGTGGTCAAAGTTACAACAGCACCAGATATTTCTCAAGCGCTAACATTGACTCTGTGTCTGAAATTGAAGCTCCAATGCAATTGAGTGGCATTTTCAAAACGATATCAGAGAGTATGCCTATTAAAATTGCACAAGATTCCTTATTGTGGATGCACGACTATACAGGTTTGCCATGGTGGTTGGTTATTATACTTACCACTGGTATTATAAGGACAGCAGTGACTTTACCCCTATCTTTTTATCAGGTACATATATAGATATTACTATTGTAACACATAACTTGATATTATATTTTTATAATTATCAATAATATTTTCAGCACTGTATAATCGCAAAATTGGAAAACCTCAAGTTTGAAATGAATGAGATAGTTAAAGAAATGAAGAAGGAAACAAATTATGGGGTATACAAATATAAGTGGCCGAAAGAATATGCTAAGCGTTTGTACATTCATTCTGTAGGTAATATTTTATTTCGCTTGCTTTGAATTTCTAAATCCATGATAATAAAACAAGATACAATTACAATATTTAATCTTTAAATATTCGTGTGTAATAAATATGCATCTTTGCCACTTTGGTTGCAGATGAAGAAACAATGGAATAACCTGATTGTTCGAGAGAATTGCCACCCAGCAAAATCTAGCATATTAGTATTAGTACAGGTGCCTTTATGGGTATCATTGTCAGTGTCTATCAGAAATTTATGTTATATGTTACCTGAACAAAATGCCAGTAAGTAAGATATACTTGATACTTAAGTAAACAATTAGAAATTACAGTTATATGTGTTTCTTTTTTTTTTTAATTAGATTCTTATGCTACACACCAGGAATTTACAACTGACGGGTTTCTTTGGATCACAAATTTGACTGTAGCAGACCCCTTTGTACTTCCAATAGCAATGGGATTATGCAATTTAGCTATTATAGAGGTAAGTTTCTTAAGTGTAAGGGGAAAATTATATATTTATATAATTTTAATATCGTATGATTTTTACAGATAAATCACATGAGCAGGACAAAAGAAACGACAAAGTGGATAAAATACATGACTTATTTCGCCAGAATCGTTGCTATTGGTATAGTTCCTATTGCCATGTGCGTACCATCGGTAAGTTATGAGAAGATTCTGTTATGAGATCAGTGAAGTGGAAATTATGAAGAATGATAAAAAATGTTTCTTTTACAGTGTGTGAGCTTGTATTGGGCGACTAGCTGTGCCTTTGGCGTCTTGCAAAATCTAATCCTGTTGTCACCGAAGTTACGTCGATTCGCAAGAGTGCCAATAACTGCTTCCGAATCGCCACATCCGTACTCGTTACTTCGTGAAAAGATAATAGCTAGATGCAGCTTGAAAAGGAAAATGGAAACCTCACCGAAGACGTAGGCATTTTTTATGATACGATGAAAATATTTCATAAGTCAATATGATTTTCTTTGTACGAGTCGAGTGTTGCATATTCAGAAATTTTATGCTATTTATAAATCGATAATTCTGATGTATATAGATACGTATTATCGAGTCCAGCCATATTATTCTTACAAAATTTTCCTAACTAAACTGCATGTCATTGAAATATTTTGAATATCCTAAATATCAAGATAAAATTAATTTTTAACTTACGATAATCGAGCTGATTGTGCAAATAATTTATAAGAAATAACTCTTCGTACAAATGGAGTGTTTATAGCGTCATCTGTGAGCAAGTAGTGCGTGACATTTATTTATTATCATACTGAAATAATTATGCGTTATTCTCAGTGAAATACTTAATATCTAAATAAACAATCGTGTTTCGCATTAAGAGCGTGGCGTAAATATTATTTTACGCCACGCGACGAGTGTAAATATTATTACGACAACAGGTGTATTTTTCTCCCTCCGATATTGCCGCTGAGAGATGCGCTTGAAAAAGGAAATGTACAATTTATTTCACCTTGGCCTCTATGCGTGAACCGAAGATAACGTTTTGGTTAGACAAGCACAACAGGAAAAAAATACATTTGCGTGGTAGCAACGTATTTGAATTATACTTATATCGAAGATTTTGCCTGTATTGACGATTTTGTGTATATAAAGTCGATTTCGAAGACGATGCGAGGCAATAGAATTCAAACGACGAATAAACGCCAAGATCGCGATCAAAGAACGAAGCTCAAGATGAAGTCTCAGTTGACAGTTTTGTTGCTATGTCTGGTGCTGTGCGCGACGCCGCTTGTAATGACGCAGTCACAAGTAAGTATTTCACTTTGAGAACACTTACCGATGGAAAGTCCGGGATTATTAACGTCAATGAGAGTCAATCGGTCGTAATAATGAAAGCGGATACTCTTATCGCGAAAGTTATAACCGAATGAATTGAGGGAATCCTGTAACTTCGACGTTGTGATGTAAGAGTGCTTCCCAAAAATTCTTTCAATGCTAAAAACCGTAATGTAACAAAAAAAATAGAATGCAGTTAGTTGTTTTTAATACGTTAACTGCCACGTCACCAGTGACTGACACTGAACTTTCCGTTCGGGTCGCGTCGGTCACCGGTGACTGACAGTGTAAAGTATGATATAAAACTAAAAAAATTACATAGTTTAATAAGTAATTTCAGGATTGTATAATTAATATACTTAAATATTTCTTATCAAAAAATTTTAATGAATTTGGCCTGACGGAGATTTCCTCCAAAATGCGCGTGGCAGTTAACGTGTTAATGCTTGTCAGCCAAGCGGTGAAAGCCAATTATTAATTTTAATTCACTTCAGTTTATAATTTATTTATTATGTCGAGCTTTACGAATCATTACAAAGTAATTCTTTCAGAATTAATTTTATATTAGTTATATTTCAATGTTTGATATTTTATACTGTGTGACGTCAAAGTTATCGGAATTATGTCGAAAAACGTTCGTTTGATTTAAAACGAGACATTTTTCAACTTTTACAAAGTTTCTTTTTTCGCCTTCCCCAAAATATTATGTTCGTAGATGTTTTCAATCACGACAGATATTTATAATAATTTTTACGTGCTTATAGAATTGTTCTTCGTAATATATATATTTTTAAATTTATATTTCCAAATACACAAGATAAGACAAAGTGTCACAAACGATGAAATTGGTCAGATTTTTGCCGGTACAATAGCTTTTGCAGATAAAACACACTCTTCTTCGCGCACGTCCGTTCTCACAGCTTTCACCGCGGCCTCTTATAGGAGGAAATACTTCCTGCTTCTATTCATCCGACCGATTTTCTCTTCTTCGTTGTAGAGCTGAGGATTAATTGAACGATTTGTTCACTTAGGCACATGTACTGCCCTATCCGAGGGACTGCAGCAAGTATCAACAATGCGATCAAAGCGGTTGCTTTGTTATGAGCTGTGGTCTGGGAACGGAATTCAACCCGGCGATCGGTACCTGCGATTATCCTCTGAGGGATCGTTCAGGATGTAGTAATCGTGGATCAGAATCTTAAATCTCGGGTCTGGCGGCGATTTTCATGAAGATACCGAGTCATTTTGCGATTTTCTCAACGGACGTTACGTTTGAACGGTTAAATATCTGTTGTTACTACATTGTACAAATAAAGAATTACAATATTTGCATATAAAAAATAGATGAATATGTTCAATATATTACATTATTATTCGCTAAGACGATAAAATAAGACGATAAAATGTTTGACATGAGAAGATGTGTTTCTAATTCTGCCGTTTGCGCTCATTTGCAACACGAGATATGAATTACATTCGTTTTAGATACGCTCGTTGCTCGTATTTTAATTTCATGTCGGAATTCCGTTTTCAGCAAATCTAATCTAACGCAGACCTTCTGCCTTATTAGACACGATAATGTAAATTAAAAATTCGCAAATTAAAAAAATACGAAAATCTCTGATCCCGTCCCAGTAGTCGCGGCAATTTCCGCGTTATCTTTCAAACATGTTGAGTCTCGACGATCGATGTATCGTCGCGGCAGATTCGAAAAAAATCGTGCGGCGAAACTGCAGCGAAGTCGAGCTGCACCGCTCGGCACTTTCGCACGCGGATTGATAATGCGGACGCGGGCTCTCTGCGGAAATGCAATCTGGCGCGCGTCGGGAGCGACGGGAATCGCGGTAAACTGTCATCGTCGCTCATGATAGCGGCGGCGGCGATGAGATGCAACGGCGAGAGCGGCAGTGGCCGACGGATCAAACGGTGTCCGACGCGCGCGGACGCGACCTTCGTCGTTGTGCATCGAGCAGATAAGCGATTTTTCCGCAGCCTACTGATAAAGCTCGTCCTGTGTGCACGACGAGTAGCGTACGCAATAACAACACGTCGGGAATCACCGGTTTCCGCGGTTACGACGACGATCGACATCATTCCCACCCCAGAAGACGACGTGACCTGCGAATAAATATCACGATCTTTCTCTCCTTTTCGCTCACGTTCGCTCACGTTGTAATTGCCGCCGAATAGCTCCTCAAGATCGTACGGAGGATGTGGTACCGACTGCTGACCCTGTTGCTTCTGGTGTGCTGTTGCCACTTCGTCGCCGCTTCCAAGAGGATGAAAGTGGTGAGTGCGAACGATTCTTTCGCTGGTGTCACGATTTCTTCGACAGGACGACCTGTCTGTTCTTAAAAACACCGAGAGGGGGGGGGGGGAGATTAATCATTCAGTTGTTACTTTGGATTATTTTGTTCCGTTACTTTGCGAAATGTTGTGCAGCTTGATCTCCGAAGTAAAGTGAAGTTGCAATGAGATTCATGGCGCATCTCGTAGTTTACCTCGTCTTCGTAACTATTTGAATAAGCGCGTGAAAGATTCAACGTTTGTTCTGCAGCATCGGTTAACTTTGACTCGTAGAGTTAACCGAGTCTTATCCTGGTTTTACTTCGGAGAAAGAGCGAATCGATTAAACTCAAATTGAACTTGATCGACTCGAGAGTTTGCGGAAGCTCGTCTTGAAAATGTGATACTCAACTCACGTTCGGTGCTTTCACGAGCGTGCGTGGAACATAATATTACCGAGTGATGTGTTGCAAATTTACTACAATACATCTCGTATGGGAAAACTTAAACTTAATGTAACGTACGAGAGAAGGTTGCGAAATGAACGAATGAAAATTAAATAATTAATCGAGCAATCGAATTTCGTTGAAAAGGAGCATGATTGATGAAAAATACGTTTGAATAGTTTGACGAGATCATTCGCGTAAAAATAAATACATGTAATTGTTCATGTTTCACACATTGAAAAAAAATATCTAAATAATAAAAAATATTTATTCGGAGGTCTTAATAACATTTAGTTATGTTGTAATAATACATTTATCTTAATATGTTATCCTTATCTTTGTAACATAGTTTCCTCATATTAATATTTTTACTGATTCAAATATTAAAAATAATATTTCTACATTATGATTTTAATATTTAGGAATATTATATTATCAACTAACAATTTTAAAACATTTATAAAATATTATGTTAAAATGTTTATAAGATCTACATAAAATCAATATTTCAAGAGATTGATTTAATGTTTCCGGCTTACTGAGATTAAAACGAAATACTATAAGGCTCGATTAGTATTATAATATTAACCAAGTCTTGTAGTATTTCGTATTAATCTCTCATGGAATTAATATCAATTATATATATTAATTATATATAATATAAATTTTATATATATATATATATATAATCACAATTATTTATTGCATCATAATTCAATAAATAAATCATAATTATCAATGCGACAAAGAGTGCATACAAATTTTTATTGCACTTATAATGTTAACTATGTATTTTAAAGCTGTGTCGGCTCTCTTATTAGCATATCTTACACAAATTATATTTAAATGGGGAAATTTCGATCTCTAATTGAATATATTATTAGGACCCATTGAATAAATCTTATTTCAACATTTAGACATTGTTTGTGTTCAGAGAGAGAGAGCATGCTCGTTCATTTCACAGACCCTTGCTGCATTCGTGCCCTTTTCTGACTTTTTCCGCAGGACGGCAAGTCTTACACGGTGTCGGCGTATCCGGAGGACTGCAGGAAGTACGTGATGTGCAGCGAGGGCAGATGCAAGCTGGAGACTTGCGAGCCCACCTACTTCTTCGACCCGGTCAGCTCCACCTGCACCCACCGGGCGCGCGGTTCCGCCAATTGTGACTTCAAGCTATCACGAAAATCGCGACGCGGCTGAGATCGTCGATGTGTATCGTAAATGTATCCCCCCCTTCGTGACGAGGTTCCGAAGGAGCTCAAATAAAACTCAGCAATGGAACAGCACAATCCCCCCCATTCATTTCTTGCACCCCCGTACATTGTTGTCCTCGCTCCCGTCCCCTCGTGTCGGTCCCTTTATTAAGCCGATGATAATAATCGTTAACGAGCGATAATTGGCAAATAGTTCTGTTTGCAGCCGCTCTTTCGTCGCCTCGTTTCATGTTCGTGTGAGTCGACGTTTTTTTTTTCCTTGAACGCGTATGTGCGTGGGGGAACAAACACTGCAGGTCAATTTTCCTCTTCTTCTTTTCCCCCTATCTCTTTCTTTCTTTCTGTCCGTCCCTTCTCTCTCTTTCTCTCCCTCTTTCTCTCTTTTCGTCGCCCGACCATCCATCATCTGTTGCTTTCCCGTTCATCTCTTCTTTCCTCGAACATTCCTCGAGGATAACCCTAAGGATAACCCTCGGACTATTCAGGCGATAACCTTTAGGCTTCCGTGAATCGGCTTACTTGTTTTCTTAGCTATCTGCTTCAGAGTAAAGCTGCTCGGCCGATCGGCTACGGTGTCGCGATTTTACGAGGAGCCGAGGTTCAGTGTAGTACGATGCTCGGTCTATCGTGGAGGTATTGAAGATGACAGCATCATTCAATCGCTTCCTCGTCGCGCTCTGCGTCGTCCATATCTGCGTTGTCTTCGCGGTATGTGGTGGGATCGTTTCTTTTGCGGGTGGCTCTCTCTTGGGTGGTGCATGCACACGGAGCCACTCCAAAACCGTCCGTCCTTCTTATCCGTGGTGTTCAAGACACTCCGTAATCCGACTGCGGATTTAGACTGAGAACTTTAGACCGGTAGTCCGAAGAAGCGCAGACACCGAAGGAGTTTTCTGGTGCCGTGGAAAACGCCTGCGTTTCGCCGGCGATGAAATGTGCGCGATTTGTGTCGAGGCTGATAACAGATACGGAAACGCGAATCGATTTGCAGTGTGAGATTTGCGTGGTCTCTCTCTCTCTCTCTCTTTCTCTCTCTCTTTCTCTCTCTTTCTCTCTCAGCATTTCCTCGAGATTTCCCAATAACAGATTCTCGTACGACCTTCAAACCATCGATTTCGAGAGATATCAGCACATGTATTGAGATTTATTCATTATTGACATAATAATTTGTGGTGTAATATTATTAACGAGTCGAGTTCGAAAACATTTTGCTTCATATTATATTGGCGAGACGCGCGTTATATAACAACACATGTTCGAAACGCGAATTCGCAATTACGCGTGGCGATATTGGGTTGCGCAGATGCGTAATTTATCAGATAAAAAGCCGAACATATGTGTGACATCTATACACGTATACTCACACACATTTTTTTCCCCTGTTTGAACCCGCTAGACGTCATAATGAAACATTGTTGACACAATCGGTGAATTTATTTCTGCAGTTATCTGAGAGCAAGCGCACACGATTTTTCGCGATCTGTAATACGCGTCTCCGATGCGCGCATGCGAGAGATATTAACTTGCACAATACGCTGTACCGTGTTATTAGACCTGATAGGCAAAATTTCAACAGAGACTTTGTTTGATATTTATCTTCGCGTACATAAGTACATAACATAATCTGGAATAAACAGTTTCGTACACGCGCGAACGCAGGTATTAACGAAAAAACAACGGACTTGTGGCGTTTGTGACGTCATAAGTAGCTAACTTACGTGTCAATTAACTGTATGTGCGTGTGTGTGTGTTTGTTTTCTTCTGTCAATATTTACTATTGTAGATTTATGATCCAAGAGCCACGACTACGAAACCACCTGAGCGTCGTGAAGCGGTGCCACCTTGGTATTCGGCAGGTAAAGCGAACGAGTCGGGAATTCAGGCGACGCCTTTCGCTCCGAAATGGCAAACGCACGACGACGACGTCTCGTCCAAGCCTGCTACGAAGGGTTGGGGCCCTTGGCGAAAAAATCCGGGCAACGAGATCGAACAAAGGACACAGGTCAATACCCAGGATCACCCGGCCGAGCAAGTTCCCGAGCAGCAACATCATCCTGAATTCAATAAGTGGGAAGAACAGGGAAATCTGAAGTCATCTCCGCCACGAGAAGGATCGGTCGATTCCGATAAAAATCGCGGAGGCTTCCAGGATGCATCGAAATACGGGAGCCGGGGTTCACCGCAGAACATGATTGATTTTGAAAATAAACTTCCGCCGAGATACGACGATACGAGCGCGGGGGATGAGAATTTGTACGAAGGAGTGCCTGTCGACAGCACGGTAATTTTTTCCTTTTTCTTCACCGTATCTAAGCAGGTTTTTTTTTATTCGCTAGAATACCTTGCTTGCGTATTTATTTATTCAAGTTCATAATATGCTTCATGCTGTTGGAATGTCATTTGACAAGTGGCAACGTGATTCGCGATAAATAGGAGAAAATTGAATTTGCTCATGATAGATTTTTATTTCGTACAGAAACCACATAAGGAAAACATACTTATTTCGTGGAAACCGCGGCACACAGTGGCTCGGTACAGCCGCCAATTCGGCGTGCAGTGTCCCGATCACAATTCCACGGGGCAATTTGTTTATCCGCTCGACTGCAAGTTCTTCGTCAATTGTTGGAAGGGTCGCGCATTTGTTCAGCCGTGCGCTCCCGGCACTTATTTTAATCCTAACACCCTGGAGTGTGACTTCCCGCACAAAGTGAAGTGCTACGAGGGTGAATTCGCCGATTACAGGGAGCCGATTTACTCCGAATCTCAAGTCGATCGAAATTCGCAAAAGTTACAAGTGCGTTTTTCTCTCTCAACGGTTTATATTATTACTGATATATATAATTATATAGCTATAAAAATTTAATTTCTCTTTAAATTGATCGATCTGAACGTGACATTTGTTTTTTTTCGTATATTTATCACAGTATTTTGAAATTAATATTTACCTTAGTTAACACAAGTAATTTAAATTTCAAGTAAAATTCGCGTTACAGTCGAGTTGACTTAATTGACAGGAACCGAAATGCCCGCCTTACGTGACGGGTTTAATGCCGCATTACGGAGACTGTACGAAATTTTTGCAATGCGCGAACGGTGCAACCTACGTTATGGATTGCGGCCCTGGGACTGTTTTTAATCCCGCCCTTAGTGTGTGCGATTGGCCGCGCAATGTAAAGGGCTGCGAAGGTAACAAGAAAATTAGTATTTCTTAATCGAAGGATTAATATCGCTTGATGCAACAAAAAACGTTCATTTCAATCTGTTTCACTTGCAATTACAGATACCTTCAAATCCGAGGAGGATGTCAAAATACTACTCACACCCCCGAGTCCACAGACGTATCCTTACGCGCACGACAAGTTGAAATATACCGACGGGAAGAAAATTGCGTGTCCTGCAGATTTCACTGGTTTGCTGCCCCATCCGGAGACGTGCAAAAAGTTCCTTCAGTGTGCGAATGGTGCTACTTTCGTGATGGACTGTGGTCCTGGCACAGCTTTCAATCCTCTTACGACGGTCTGCGACTGGCCTTACAACGTACCTGGCTGCAATACAGGTGATTGCGCACATTGCTGAGTAATACGTCAATCAGCGACTGCATTTTTCTCGCGATCATATTTTCCCAATCAATCGTAAATTATCGAATGCAATATGGAATCTGTTATCGACAAACATTTCTTGAAATATTTTCAGAGGGTCGATTGCGCACCGAGAGAAAATTATAGTCGTTTTTTAATCTTAAATTGAGCCCAAGTATTAGCGTCAACACAGATTTGACCGAATCAAGACTAAAAATCGCCCGAGAAGTTTATAATATTCTTGCTTATATATGAGAATATCTTTCATTGATTTAAGATTAACTTTTCCCCGTGTACAGATAAACCAGGCGATGAGGCGCACAGGACAACGGGTAACAGCTGGCCACCGTCCGGCGAAGTCGGAAGTGGCACTGCAACGTGGTCGGATACGAACCGATACAATGGCACAGGTGACTCTCACGGTGCAGGCTCATGGCCGGGATATAGAGCGACGACGACGACGACTCTTAGACCGCCGTGGGCACCGATAACCCCGGGTCCAGTCTTGTACCCGACGTGGAAGCCATCATCCGTGACAACCACGAGTCGAGTGTTGTATCCGACGATGAGACCGTCATTCGTGACAACTCCGGCTCCACGCTGGATACCGACGTGGACGACCGCAAGACCGTCTTACGACCGGCCCGGACACGCCGCTGATCATCGCGGTCATTACGGTCGAGTGTACGAAGACGGCCAGTACAGGGACCACGGGCCGTATCGTCCGGAGTGGCGACCGAGCGGCGGAGATTTCGGGCGACCTAAGGTCGACGGTGATTACGGGTACTACGACCGCTACGACGAACAGTGGGCGAAAGATCCGGACGCCGGTCATCCGCCGGGTACTCGTCATTTCGACCGTCGTCCGAGTGGCCAGCCGTGGCCACCCGAACGTAGATTCCCACCGGATCACGGGTACGACCATGGCTACCATCCCCGTCCTCCTTATTCCCCCAATTTACCTCACGGTTACGGGCCTGCGCCAGGTCCTCCGGCGAACCCGAGCTGGGACTCAGATAGCTCCGCTGCCGTCCCCGCTGACGGCGACTACGGTCGTGAATATTACGGGGGGTACGCTCCGCACACGGGCGACGGCCGTTGGCGTCCCGATGGCCACCAGCATCGCCCGCCTTATCATCGTCATCATCATCATCATGATCATCGCCATCACTTCGGAGACGCAGTTTCACCGGGCGAAACGGATCGGGGGCGATTATCGCCGTATTTCCCGGACGGGCGACACGAAGAAGACGACACTCAGTATCGCGAGGACGCGCAAACGACGTTTCCCGGCGCTGGGAATCCGCCGGCAAATCGGAGGACCGGTTATGACTTCTCGCAGACCAGCCCGCGACAAGACGGGCCGAGTCCTGGACTTCATCGTCCCGACTTTAATCGCACTTCTCCGCCGACTGGAAATGTTTTTCTAAACAGCGGCGATCAATTCGCTGAGAGTTCGAATCAGACTCGCTATGGTCCGTGGCGAGATGGGCCGCCCGCTCCTCGGCCGGAACAAGGAAATACCGCCTGGAGTCGAGCCGATGGATCCGCTTTCCAGCCGAGCACGTGGCGCGACCAGCCGAGTCGAGGACACGCGGACACCCCAACGCGCCCGTTGGATCAAGGTAAGATAAAAATTAATATAGCGCGTATCGAGATTATACAATTTTTCCAATGACATCGAGATGTTGATTGTAACAAGTATGTGCGAAGTTCACGACAGACTTTACGACGATCAAATTGCTGTTTTGCGACATCTAATGGCAAATATTTGCACGCTGCACGAATTAACTTTGCTGAAAAGTTGCATACAAAGCTTATCGTATTAGCGCAGCATGATATCATTTAACAAACAGCGTAGACTCCGCGCAAGGGAGAGTAACGGTTCTCTTTCATGATAATGACGCATGCAATTTAATCTTAATGCATGGAAATTACATCGCACCGTTGATGTATCTTACGAACAACGGGAGATTAAATGCATTTTACGGGCAAATAATGGGGGATTTAATATATTGTGTGTAAATGGAATAGTAAGTGCGATAAATAAATTACGGATGAAGGTTAAGTGACTGAAGAATGCAGTCAGAGGTCAGGTACAAAGTACGGAAAGTACGTTTGTGCATTTTTAATTTTTAGTCTTGTCTTACTACGTCATACACATGTCATGAAAATACTTTTTACGTAAGATTCCACGTCAGATTATTGAATATGAGTGAAAGCTTCACGTTTCGTAGACGCTCAGGAAAATAAATTCCACCAATGGCAATCGGGAAGTGATATTTATCAGCAAAGCACGGTTGACAGGGAAAACGATGCGAAAATGGCACAGTGGGCATCGAAGACGAATATCTTCGCACATTCGAGGGGTCAAATAGGTCCAGGTCTGTAAGCGGATCTATAACGTTTAAATTATTTGATCATTTCATAATAAAATAATAATTACAATTATACGTATACTTGTTAACTATTTACGGTGAGTTACAATTTAAACGGAATTGATATGTATTTATCACGTTTTACTTTATGATCACACTCGTATTTTTTTAGCAGATTCGCCGAATGAAACTAAGCATCCGAAAACGAATCTTTATCCGGATGGGATATACGCCAATGTAAATGGCGTAAAGGGTCACTTCATCACGAAGGAAATTGAGAGTAATCAAACACGCCCGGAGATGCAGTATCCGTATGAAGTTCAAAAACCATTCGATCGGGATAACAATTTGAATAGTACGCTTCTATCGTCTAAATTAATATCTCGTCGATATCTCTTTTAGTCGCGACAATTTTCCTATACTGTTAATCGCCAAATTTGGAGGTACACGTTGAAATAAAAACTCTATGTAATTACGGGGGACATTTCGAGGTATCTCTAGTTACCTCGAATTTGGAGATATTTCGCAATAATACCTCCGAATTTGGAAGTATGTACTTCGCGTTAACAGCGTATTATCACAACAATGTTTGCTACCTGATTACTACCTGTTTCTTTTTTTAACAGGCACTGATTACGGTTACGCGCCATTGTTCAACGTTACAACGTCCACGGGAACGACAGCCACGAGACCTCCGAATAAACCGTCTGTACCGACAAGAAGAGCGAAGGATCTTACAAACACTACAAACACTATAAGGGAAAAAGAACCGCGTGTTTCCCGTGACGAGAGTAGGTCCCATTTACCCGGTGTCTCGATTGAACAAGTTGACCTTTCGAGCGGTATCGATACAAAGCTAAGTGACATATCGTCGGAATTTCCGGATATCCTCGCACGGGAGACGGGTGATTACGTGGACGTGTTGGACGAGAAAAACGAGTGGAAGCCCAAATTGGTTTTCAAAAATAAGACCGAGGACATCACCACGGCTCCATCGGTCGTTATGAGGATCACCCCGAAGAAAACCGACGTCGAGCTCTTTAATATCGAAGCTCCGCCGTTTAAAGAAGGTAAGCAGAAGACTCCGTACGAACTTAGGCCTAAAAATGTTTATGCGATTGTCAGTGAATATTGGGTAAGTTGACTTATCTTGAATGGCCTTTTGGCGAGCTGGCTTCTTGTGTATCGTCGCGCCATAAAGTGTTGCATAATAATGAATTGAAACTTTTTATTATAACGCTTTCGGTAACGCTTTCGCGGGGGAAACACTTTATATGCACATAAAAATACCTATAAATATAAATTAATATAATATTATATTGAAATATCTATTTAAATATATATTTATATGTTGTGTACCGGATGTTCTATAATATTTCATTTCATGAATCATAATTATCGATGGAGAAATCATGCATTACTAAAAATTGTGCATGTAGCTACTCCATTAAATAACAAATCTGTCATTTATCTATGCAAATGTCCACGTATCTTGGTTGCGTGCAGTGTTTCTATATTATTTTGAAGAAACAGCAACGTGCAAAAATATCCGTGTATTTCCATCAACGAACGGAACATTATCTTGCACACCGTTTCTCGAGTAATCTGATTATTAATAAGGAATTCATATTAATTTTTCTTTTCTCTTTTCTCTTTTCTGCAGAGGAGCCACCTTTCCCAGTTTATTACGTGCCGTTAGTGCGACCATTGACTCATTCGCAAAAGACCGCTCTGCTGACACCCATATCCGGTCAGGTGAGATGAAGACGACTCGAAAAATTTAGCTTCAATTCTAATGAAACAAAAATGTTATCATTACCCACCTTAACAGGTGATCCGCTTGAGAGGTGGTACCGGACCTAACGATGGTTACGTTGAGGTCCAAGGCGCGCTGCCAGGTTGGGGCATCGTGTGTGATTCTAGAAATAGTTGGACGCTGAAAGAGGCTCACATAGTGTGCAGACAACTTGGTTACACCAGGTACGCAAAGTGAAAGTTATCGTATCTTCCTTTTTTATAAATCTGTAGCTAGATTATACATCGTGCAGTTGCTCACGTGTCGCGGCTGTAACGTGTAAATTACTATATATGATAATTAACATTCAGTTACATGAAAAAAAGAGAAATCATTACCTTGCTATTGTATTTTAGTACACTGAAGTTAACTCGAGAAAATATATTCCTAATCTCGAGATTTGTCCGTTGCGTGTAAAGCTCGCTTGCACCGCGTGATCTTGGATCGTGATGAAGTAGTAACTAACGACGGAGCGCGATATGACAAATTATACCAAGTCTTTTGTTCATCATGTAGAGGCGCCGAAATGGCTTGGCAAGGCAGAAACAATCACAACGGAGTGCCAACTTGGGTAGCGGCGAACACCGTGACGTGTCTCGGCAACGAGACCAGATTTCAATCGTGCAAGTAAGATACCCGCTGCCAGAAACTGATAAACGCTCTCTATTATCGCGGGCGGGGATTCGTTTGACAAGTAGAAATCTACGAGATTCTCGCGGGCCTAATAGCAGCAAAACGATAGCAGCGATTTGTTCTTCGCTCTTCTCCTTTCTCGCTTTTCAAAATCTACGAACATCCTGCGATCCTCTTCGCACGACGACGCGGATCGCAGCGGAGATGTTCGCGCTGCGATACACACCGTGATGATAATTATGCCAATCTAGATTCACGCACAATCAGGAGTGCCGCGTGGATAGGGACGCTGTCGGCGTGCGATGCCTCTCGAATCATATCGCGCATTGTCGCAAGGACGAGATACCGCACGAGGAACAATGCTACCATTTGGCCGAGCCAGTCGGAGGGTTGAACCGTGCTGAGGCGTCAGATTACTGCAAGCGAAGGAACGCCCGGCTCATCGACATCGCCAACCAGGCGGAAAACAACTTCGTGTCGGAGTGGCTGTTGCAGTTGTATCCGGAAGTTAGCTCGATCATGACCTCCGGCACCGGCTTCGCCATTATGAATCGCCCCTTCTGGCTCTGGGAGGACTCCACTCACGCCATGTTTAAGTACGACACGAAAACTCCCAGTTCGAGTTTTGATTTTAAACGATTTAAATATCCCATTAACCCGATTCTCTTTCCCTTCATCTCTCTTCCTCTTTTCACTGCCTCGGTTAACCCGTGCGCGTATGTACGCTTCGTTTCACCACGCTGCGATTCTCCTCCGAGCGCAAAATTTATTTCTACCTTATCAAAAATTAATGAATTCCAAGGTGACGGTCCCTATAACCGTAAGTTTTATGTTAAACGTTTTGTTAGATTTACAAAGTGGTGGCCCGGCTGGGTGAACGACACGGAGCAGCCACCGCAGCCGTTGGGCCCTCGTCCTCTTTGCATCGTAATGAAACGGAAATTTCCATGTCACGAACTAGCCGAGTCGACATGCGTCGCGGATTATTTCTTCTGGGATACGGAGGACTGCGCGGACAGCTCAAAGTTGCATTCCTTCGTCTGTGAGAGACCTTATGAGGACATCGGTAATGTTAAAAAAAAAATTGCCAGGGGGGTTTATGAACACAGGGGTGGAAACCGTATGAAGTGTCACTTCAGCGCGTGATGACGCGCGGCCCGATAGAAATTATATAGAGTTTTATATTTATTTTAATAACAAAGAGAAAGAGAGAGGAACACATCCCGTCAACTCACTATAATTACGCATTTATAATGGAGAGCGGAACGTATTAACGGAGATAATTTATACGTTACGAAACTTCATCGGGCATTATTTAATTCGATTCAAATATCCGCCTCTCTGACACAGAGAATAACGTAATAACGTAATTCTCTCCGCGCAGTATCACACGATATATATTCCAAACGCGCGGAAAGACAATTTGCGGATTTAACAATATCCGCTTTTCCAGGCTGCGTTTACGGGAAAGGAAATCAATACGCCGGTAAAGCCAATGTAACACTATCAGGAAACGAATGTCTCCCATGGGCCGACCAGAGAATCGCCCATCAGCTGCGCGTGAATGTGAGTGTTCGGTGCTCTTTGTGCGGCCTGCGGAAAATCCAGCGATCCAGTTCGGATTAAATCGCACGACATGCGTTGTTATAGGTCGTTAGCGAGGAAGCCCGGGAGAAACTGAGAACGCACAACTTCTGCAGGAACCCTAATCCCGCAAAGGAATCGAGGCCATGGTGCTTCGCAGGACCAACGGGAGAGCGCGAATATTGCGATATTCCTGCCTGTCGAAATATCGGTAGGTACTCGAAGTTGTGTGATTAATTGAATCACTCTCTCCACGATCGCGAGTCGCGAAGAATGAAGCATTGGCATGAATATCGAAGTAGAGAAGAGAGAGAGAGAGAGACAAAAGCAATTATTATTTTTTTCTCAGATCCGAAACGGTCGACGTTGACTGGCCAACACAAACCTAGACATTTCGAATGCATGCCAGGAGAGTACATTCCATCTCCGTGGGTCTGCGACGGAGAGGAGGTAGGATACAAACGATCTACACATACACATACACACACACGTTCGACGCGTCCATAGTGTAAAATAGCGTGACCTACATTTCCTCTATTTTCTTGAAAGCGCAGAAAAGGGATACGGATAGGATTTAGCAAATGTCACTCGTACGTGCAATTTGAAAAAACAGCGGACACGCTCATGCGGAAATTTGCATAATTCAGAGATGGTGGAATTGCTGAGAGAATTAAATTAAAACAAAATTAAGCTGAAATGAGAAAAACACGATCATCTTCCCAAAAGAAGATGTAACGAATGAACGAATGGACGCGCGGGAGAGTAAAAGCTTGTCGTACCTAGCGAATTAAGGGTTTTAATAATAAGATGCGCAATAAGTTAGCCGCGGTGCAACTCGTAATAAATACACCTGAGGCATTGGACTTTCATGAAAACTTTTAATAACTCAAGTTTTTAATCGTCGACCTCTCCATTTCGAAACGATCCGCCGCCGCGTAGAGACGAATTACAAACTTCGAGCTTCCCTGAAACTTCCGCGATAAGATAATTGCATTAGCGATCTGGTTTACTACGGACGAGAATCGGACGACGACACAATTATTACAACAATTGCTGTGTCTAGGATTGTACGAACGGGGCCGACGAGAGGAAGTGCGCGGTGGACCTCAGCCTCTTTGAAAAATCCGCGAAGCATAAACTCGATGGCTACGACGTGGAAAAATGGCTGAACACGCCACTGAAGACCTGCGCTTTAAGATGCAAAGAAGCCGATTTCACTTGCCGCTCTTTTAATCACAAGTCTGTCTAAAAGTTATTCGAGTTATTTATCATCCGTCAACCGGCAAGCGAGAACGTTATAATAATAATAATAATAATAATAATAAGTTTCGCGTTAAAATAGCAAATGTATAATTAACGTCCGTGTCTGTGAACGTTCTCCGCCGCAACATTCAACGACGGAGTGACAATAAAAATACACCGAGTTGTTTATACATGTTAAGAAGATAAAAAGTGTCAACGTCCGTGTAAAAAAAAGTAACTTCTTACAGACGAGCGTTACGGCACCGTTCACACACATCGTTTACACCGCGATCGTTCACGGACTAATTATTTCCCGGTGTAATGTTCGCGATTGTTCGCAAATATCCATGCATCTCGTTTCAGGGCGGAGGGCAACATCTGTCTGCTCAGCGACAGCAACATTGGCTCGACTGGCGCGCTTAAGTCTGACAGGCAGTTCGATTATTACGAAATGACGGAGAGAAGCGTGAATTGCGACGGCATGTACATTTGCAATAATCGCAAGTGCATAAATCAAAGCCAGGTCTGCAACGGTAAAAACGACTGCAACGATCGCAGCGACGAGAGTATCTGCACGGCGGAGAATCTCGATTATGAGATTCGCCTGGCAGGCACAAATAGTAGTCACGAGGGGCGAGTCGAGGTCAAAGGTGAGCACGCATGTCGCAGGAATGCACGAAAAAGTGAACGGGCGAAAGAGCGAATTCTAAAAGATTAAAAATAAAGAAAAGAGATACTGTGAAAAATATATATCGTGTTTGATGTATATACAAGACGGTCCAATTAAATCGAGCATCGTAAATATCATCAAAAACAAGTGAAATATTTAAGACGCTCGATTTAAATGGACCACCAGTATTATACGGGCCGTATATACATACGATATATATAGATCAGATAAAATATATATTAGATGATATATATATCATATATTTTAACATAGCGCAAGTGAAATTCGTATCGATCGTGCGGGTTTTAGCGGCGAGAGATCGGCGCGAAGGAGGAACGAAATGAAATTATAATGTCTCGGAGACATGACAGATCGCTTCTGTGGTCCTTTCTAAATGTGGTCGATTTGTCGAGCAGTTCTAGGACACTGGGGGCAGGTATGCGACGACGGCTTCGGCATGATCAATGCTGACGTCATCTGCAGAGAGCTCGGTTTCGTTCTCGGCGCGTTGGACGTTAGACAGGGTGGATTCTACGGAAATCTCGACCCGCCGACGAAATTTATGGTGGATCAGCTGAAGTGCCGCGGCAACGAGACTACCTTACGGGAGTGCGACTTCAACGGGTAAGAATCGCTCGGCGCTGTGACACGCGTAGCCGATGCATGCTTATGGCCGACTTTCTCGACTGTTTCCTCAGATGGGGAGTCCACAATTGTCAACCGGAGGAGGCCGTCGGCATCGTCTGTAAGACCGCGGTCAACACCTGTCAACAGGATTACTGGAAGTGCGACAACAGTGCGGCTTGCATATCGACGTCGTTCATTTGCGACGAGGTGGTCGATTGCCCGGACGGCTCCGACGAGAGCCCGGAGCATTGCGATGTGAGTAGAAGCGCAAAATTACCGTCTCGATTTCAAGTGTCGATTACTTACGGTAAAGTCACGATGGTTTTGGCGATTTTGGTTAAAATTCGTTGTTTCTTATCATTGCTTTGATAGTTTTTGGCATATATCTAGTTTCTCAATTACTATATGACGCATTTCTCATTTTAAAGGCTAAATGCTCTTTTCGACCTTTCTATCAAAATTTTTTTATTTCTGCAATTTTTTTCCTAAATTACCACTTTACCAACTTTCCAAAATTACCGGATAATTTACCGTGATTTACGGAATAGATCACCGTAAGATTGGGGCCGTTTTCATTCTCTAGACGTGAGTCAGGATGAAAACGCGACTCGCACTAGACGCAACTTCGTCTTCATTCCAGGCACCGTTCGAGTTGCGTTTAGTGGACGGCGACGGCCTTCTGCAGGGAAGGGTCGAAGTGCGACATTACGGTGTATGGGGCACCGTGTGCGACGATGACTTCACGCATAACGCAGCGGCGGTTATCTGCCGATCGTTGGGCTACGGAGGTAGAGCAATCGCCAAGAAGAATGGTTTCTTCGGGCCCGGCGAGGGACCGATATGGCTAGACGAGGTAATTCGCGATCTGAGAACATCTCTTCGATAAGCGATCGTTTCAATTTTTACTATGAATCGCTCCACCCCCGCAGCTTTCCGCCATTTAGCTCTCCCTTAGTTGCATGAACGTCAAACATCAGTAATAGTTAATTTCGAGCGATGATTCACGGCTTGTCGCTGCTTTGTTACATCGTTAACGCAATCGGAGAATACCGGATACGTCATTCTTGTGGAATAGGTTTTCTGTCACGGCAACGAGACGCAGTTGCATCGATGCGACCATAATCACTGGGGCCGACACAACTGCAATCATAACGAGGACGCAGGTGTAATTTGCTCACCTGGAGATGTCAGCGAGGTAAATCGAAAGCCAACCTAATGTCCTCCCGCTGTGTGACCGTAACCGAACGTTACACGTTTTGTTTATTGGATTGCTTTCGCTTGTTAACGGAGATTGCTAATATCGTGTACGATGTAATATTATGCTCTTTGACAATCACCACCGGCTGTGAGTCGATAACAATCGCGATAAATTCGCAAATAAACGTTACTGTTTGCATCAGCAGTTGTGTACAATTTGTTCGCTCACTTCTCGATCTTGACACATTCTCCTCTTCGCCGAGTAGCGAAAATGGACAATGGTGCCGGAACTTCCAGAGCGAAGCATCGACGAGATACTCCCGGCGAAGTGCGGCCAGCGCGCCAAAGATTTCAATGACGACGAGGACTTGATATTCGCGAAGGTGGTGCACGGCTCCATCGCGCCGAAAGGCACCTACCCTTGGCAGGTGAATTATACTATCGCCAGATCCGAATTTCGCGATGATTGATAAGTAAATTGTCGCCACGTATTTAAGGCTCCCTCACCGCGATCCTCTTGTTTTTCGTAACCGTAGAATTCAAGTGACACGCGTTCTACTCTTTTGACTTGTTTCTTCCTCACGAGAAAAAGGGTTAAAGATAGCGTCAAATAAAATTTAGGCCAGCGTGCGGGTCCGAGGACACAGCCGATCGAATCACTGGTGCGGCGCGGTGATTGTGTCGCCCCTGCACGTGTTAACGGCGGCGCATTGTCTGGAAGGCTACAACAAAGGCACGTATTTTGTTCGCGCGGGGGATTACAACACAGATGTGAGTAAATTGTCGTTATCGTCGTCGCGCAAGCGAGCGCGCACGTTTCCGCAGCGAGCTCTCACGGTGTATTCGCGCGCCGGGTTTCGCGCCGTCTAGATAGAGGAGGGCACCGAAGTGGAAGCCAACATCGAGGATTACTACGTGCACGAGGAATTCCGCATAGGTCACAAGATGAACAACGATATCGCTCTGGTTCTACTTAAAGGCCCCGGTATCCCGCTTGGCAAGGATATCATGCCAATTTGCTTACCGCCCGAGAACACCGAGTACCCAGCCGGGCTCAATTGCACGATCAGCGGATTCGGCAGCATCGAGACGGGAAAGACGAGTAAGCGAGTTTGCCGGAGGAGATTACTTTAAGCTCGCTCGTGCGATGAAACAGACCGTTGTTTCTCTTGCAGCGCAATCGAAGGATTTGCGGTACGGCTGGGTGCCCCTGTTGGACCAGTCGATTTGCCGGGCCGGTTACGTTTACGGCGAGGGCGCCATAAGCGACGGTATGATATGCGCCGGATACCTCGACGAGGGTATCGACACCTGCGACGGCGATTCCGGCGGCCCCCTGGCGTGTTATCACAATGGTAATTAGGAAAAAAATCCGTAAAGCCACGAGGAGGCCTTAATTAACCGAATAACGAGGTCTATACAGAGGAAAAGGATCTCTTTGGATTCAATAGAATTTCCTTCATTGAAGCAAATTGTCTCTTGGAGCAGACGAGCGAGTGTTTGATTCAGCGAGCAGGATTGTTTGGTTTCTCAAACAACAGTATCGGAAATTAATGATTATCCCGATTTCCCTTATCAAAATGAGAAATTGCAAAACGTTTCGATCTCGCTTAAATCAATATTCGCACGCGACAGCGTGGAAATTTCTAATATTCTTTTCTTTTCTGCGTCAGGAGCTTTCACTCTGTACGGGATAACCAGCTGGGGCCAGCATTGCGGCAGGGCGAACAAACCTGGAGTTTACGTCCGCGTAGCGTATTACCGGCGATGGATCGATCAGAAAATCAAGGAATCGCTCGCGGGCAGGTAGACTTTGTACGAAATTTGTGCGAAAGACGTTCTCTTTAAAGATGTCATGTAGCGGCCTGTCGTACATTAACAGCGTTAACGAATAATTCGCGAATAACTCCATCTATATGAAACAATTCCATCTGTACGCATCATCGCCCGTGGAGACGTAATGATAATTAGAGATACTTACTTCGTCGTAATATACTCACCGATTTTCTCTCTCTTCGTGGTTAATCCGTCCTGCGATTTATTTATATATCTCAATAAAACACGTGCCATATGGAAAGCATTGGAAGAATAAAGACGCAGACATCGATGACACACACACACACACAGGATGAGAGTGACGCAAGTGAGCACACGAACGAAGGTGGGTTCTGTTAATTTGCAGTTTATTTCGTAAGACATCTTCGTTTCTACAGTAATTGTAATTGTGTTGCTTTCCTGTCGCTGTTACATGATTGAGCCTATTTTTTTTATGTACAATAGTCCCAACGTGTCTGACCCGATTCGATCCGTGGTAACAACTCAACGTTGGCTCAAACGAATGGCGTTTATACAGACCGAAAACGTAAAGCACGTGTATGCACAGTCGAGAGAAAGTAACAGACGCGCGTTCGCATTGTATATAAACTCGCACAGCACTGAATTACATTATTACAGTGTCGCATAGGTTTTAGGCTGATCAGACGCAGGCTTAAAAGGTTCCCTTATCTTGCGTTCTCGTTTATCGCGTTACTCCCGCTAATATCGGCCCTCTTAAAAGGCGCAAGGACAAAAACGACAAAGAAGACATATATTGATCGGCATATAAAACAGCGCGATATATCAAAATATATCGGCTCAATATAAAGTACAGAGAGAGAGAGAGAGAGAGAGTCGCTGCCGCGCTTCGTGCGAAACCGCAAAACTGAAACTCTCGAGCCCCTTCGACGCGTACCACCTGCACGCGTTGCATCGATTTCTATCGCGCTTGCGAACACTCGCGAACAAAAAGAAAATTCACACGACAGAGAGAGAGAGGGAGAGGGGAAAAGAGGAGAGATAGACGTGAAGTTTTTCGTTAGCAAGAAATTAACGATCCCGAGTTGTAGTCTCGCGAACGAGATTTGCCGCGCGACGATAAGACGCCCGACAATATATACCGCGAGAGGAAGTGATCGGAAAACGTTAACCACATCGATCGTGGTTTTGCCGTAGAGATAACAAACAAAGAGCTGAACTTCGCTTCGCGAAAAGTCCTACAAAGGAGATATCCTATCTACGGTCGCACGGTGCAATTATGATCTTATGTCTCACTTAAGGGAATGTCGATCAAGAATACGCTTAGCGTGAAAATTAACGATTAAATCTAACTCGAATACGCTTAATTTAGGCGATAAAGTGGCCCCGAATCTGTGTCACTGGAAAATGTGTTAATGACCGATTGATTAATTATTAACGGTACGATTAATAATTAATTACTCATGGGACAATTAATAGTAGCAATTAATTATTAATGATAATTGTGCAAGATATTCTGGGAGAAGAATCGTTACGGAAGAAATATTACGAGATATTCTCAACGCAAGCTTCTTCAGAATATTCTGACGCGATAACGACTCCTAAGTCGGCGGAAAACAGTCTCGCGAATAGCACATACCAGTTCGTGGCAATGTGATCTTGTGTGTATCATCGAGTAGAAAAGACTTTAGTGAGGACCGCGGCGCGTCCGCGAGACACGAGTCCGGAGTTTCGGCTCTTCGAGCCGAAAGGAAGGATTTTTCCCGCAGAACGCGAGAAGGGATATTTTTCGGGGGACACAAATTCGGGCCGAACTAACGATCTAATGACTAGATGTTAAGCAAGAGTTACCGTTATCTTTCAATCAATCACTCGACGATGAACGTACGTACATACTTGTTTCTTTTTTATTTCTCTCTTTCAAGTGGCGTTAGGCAATCTCGGATTGAGACCGATCGGCGATTACGATCGCTGACGCTTTTTCTTTTTTTTTTAATCGTGGATCCCGACGCGGAGCGGATCGGTTCCCGCCGCTTTCGCCGCGCCGGTCTCCCGAAATTCGATTATCGGCCTATGTTTTAGATCTAAGTAACGTACAGATACGCATATTAATTGTATATACACACACGACTTTCTTATGTACAGAATCGTTAACTATGATAGAACGTCACTAGTGTTGCCGAACGCGAGGAGAAAGGTGCCGGCAAGGTGGGGATTCTCGGGAGAGTAGCTCGAAACAGCGGGGAAGAGGGGACTTTGATAATGAGGGGGGGAGGGGGATCGCAGGGTATCCGGAAAATGCTTTGTTTGACTATGGAAATGGTGTGTGTGTGTGTGTGTCATCGTCTACGATCAACAGTCTAACTTCAGCAAACTAAAGCTTTGCAGCGTTGCCTGCAATAGAAAAATCGTACAAAACGACACGGTAGAAAAACGTCCGGCGCGGGGATCCAACGCGGTGTGCGGAAGCGGCAAACAAACAGAGACAATTCCGGGTGTGATGATGGAGATCGAGCAGAAGAGGCCAAGAGAGATGGAAAGGAGGGAGGAGAGAAAGAGTCAGAAAGAGACAGAGTGAGAGAGAGAGAGAGAGAGAGAGGATAAGAGTTCATGAACACGGATAATGATCATACGATCACGACGTAACGCTACGAATATTGACAATGTAACACGCGCGCCGCTTAAGATGTTACAGTGTAATTAGCCTTCTTACTGTTAGTCATTGATTTACGATAACGTGCATACGCAATCGTCGGCTTGGTTTACGTACTACTTTTATTATTTTCTTTTTTTTTTACGGAAAATTGCCACGAGCTCGCGGCGCAACCAGATCTCGCTCGGATAGGACCGCTGGTGTGTTAATCGATGGCGATCGAATCAATATATATTGGACGTACGTTATCAAATATTTACAAAATAGCAAGTAAAAACTGACGGATTGTAATATCGGCACTTTAGTAAATTTGTAAAAGTGCTAAAAAGAGTTGTAAAAGTGCTACTGACGCGTTGCGTCAATAACAACAACGAGTTTCGGCGCGTGTGTCTGGGTGTGTTCTCGTGTCCTCTTTTCTTCTTCGTCGTTTAACTAACGTTCTCTCGACTCCTTTATTTTACTTCAATGTATATTATCCTTATAAAATTTCAAAAAACATCTCTATATGTATAAATGAAAAGTGTACGTTCGCGTACACGTGGCATAAAAGCGTTCGGTAATGAAAAGACGACACAACGATTCAGGAGTTTCCGACGATAAAATACATATAAAAGGGCACGCAATGAAGATATCGGTGTGTGTACGCGTGTGATATCGAAAAAACATACGGGAATAATGAATAATCGCACTTCGACTTGAATGACTTCGCGCGTCGATCGATGATTATCGATTTATCTCAGACCCGTATTTACAGTCGTTTACGTGAACGCCGCTCTCTCAAGAGACGTAGAGTTCACCGCCTCGCGTAGTTTCCCGCTCGCGAATCGCGCGATTACAGACGAATATCGAATTGACTCTCAGGATTGCACCCTATTGCACCGCGCATTGTATCGCATCTCTCGAGACCGATCTCGGCCGAGAGACGGTTCGTCGGCGAAAGCTCGCGACTATAAATACGCGTCTCAACGATACATCGAAGTGAACATTCTTCACGACGACCTGATTTGCGCAGAGCTCGCGTAATTTGTCTCTTCGATCGATAAATTATACTTTCTTTGTTGTTACGCGATCCTTTCTCTGTACACTTCGTGCTAAGTACACCTCTCGTGTCCCTTCGCTTTACGTCCACCGTTTACTTCATGCGCACCGAGAGAAAAATGCACGATTTGAAATGCGAACAACGCGAGGAAAACTTTATATATATATATATATATACGTTACGCGAAACCGCGGCGAGGTCGTTTCCACCTCCCCGGCAACGCGAATGAAAAATGCAGCACAAAATATTCTCGTCAACGAGAGGAAACCGCGACCGACTATTTCTGAAGATCGACTATCGATCGTCTCGCGCTGACCGTAAGGAAAAACGAGAGCGGATATGGAATTCTTACTAAAAGACTAAATTGAGAATGAGCGAAGCGCCGGAGGAACGGANGGGGGGGGGCGGAAAGGAGGAGAAACTTTACCTCTTGTGACTCCGTGACTTTTATCGCCTCGAAAAATCGCGAAACGTTGGTTACACAATGTCGCGTCGCGATCGCGCAGCCTATTTCTTTCGGTTAGGCGAGATCGCGCGTTTTCGCGATTTTGCATGCGATTTTTCTCTCAGTCCGCGAAGTCCCGACCCCCATTGCGTGTGAAATTCGGCACACGCAGTGCGCTGCTTTATTTTCCCCATCTACGATCGGTGCCATCGCGATTTGCCGGCATTATTTCGCCGTGCCATGGGCAAAGTTCGCGTTACCCAGGGAGAAACGAACACTTGGTCCCTATAACTGTTCGAAGAAACACATGTGTCTGTCTATTCTCGAATTCGTCCGGGCAAAAAGGTATTTGCCGAAAATGCAAAAGGAAACGGGCGTTCTACTTTGACATATCATTACGGCGGATTCGTGTTCCCGGCTTTTCCTTCTTTTCATTTCTGCGGAGAGACATCGGCTTTTTTCTTCTTTTCTTTTTTCTTATTTCACTCAACGGGAGATCACGTGTGATCACGCGGAAAACAGTGACGCACGCGTCAAAAACGCGTCTCGTTTTGAAAGAGTAAAGAGTAGGGAGAGAGGAAGAACGAGAGAGAGAGAGAGAGAGAAAGAGAAAGATATATCGAGCTCAATATTCTCGTAATATTTTATAATTCGTAAATTTTGCGTTGTTTTAATCATATCTTGGTTACGTTTGACGGAAGGCACGGCACACTACATTTACGTTTATTAATCACGCTAATTAACACCGAGCCCAATTCGTCCCCGGCGGAAAGCCGGTTTACCAATCGTCGACGATAATTTCGCCTTCTTTTTTTTCCCCTCCCCTTTACCCGGAGCGTCCGAATGTGCCTGAACGAATCGGATTCGCGGATATATTTCGCTGGGAAAATTCGTCGCGACTTACGATAAATCACTCGTTAATTGAATCGCGCCGGCAAATATTGACAGAAACCGGACGCGGGCGGTAATTTTCGCAGACCTTCCGGATACATCGCGTCACGACCCGCAAGAATAATTCGTCGTGCAGCGGCGACGTGTTTAATAAAAATTGCTCGCGGCACATTTTCTCCGGGTTTCCACCCGGGATTTTTCGGCCGAATTTCCGCGAGAAAACACGCTACGCCGCTAATCGAATCATCCTCCTCGATCGCGCGTCGTTTCTGCGCGCCCGCACGAAAACAGTATACTTTCTGTTTTCTTTAATTTTTTTTACGTGCGTCACACAGCAAAGAAGCCGGAAAGAGAGTCACAGCAGACGACTGTCATCGATCGCACGTCGACCGATAAGAACCGCCGGAGAACGCGTGAAAGAACGAGCTTCCACCGCACAATGAGAAAAAGAGAGAGAGAAAGAGAAAGAGGGAGAGAGAGAGAGAGAGCCGTGTCGCTTTAAGCCGTGATTTTCCGACTTTTCTCGATCTTCCTCGCCTCGATTGACCGTCCTCGGTGAATGAATCCTTCTCCGCTTAAGTACGTGCACGACGATCCTTATTGTTATCATTATCATTAATTATTACGACCTACAGTCGCGCGAATTCGTCGCGCGCGGGCGCTCTTCTCTTATTACACTACAGGAACGACCCTACTTCTCACACATCTAGGAGCCTGCGTTAGCGTTATATCAAAAGGGCTATGTACAAAAAGATCGAACGCGCCGATCGCGTCTCACTCGAGCCGCGTTTCTCCCGCGAATCTCCGGAGGATCCCACTCACGAGGTCATCCGGAGGTATCCGTGGGGGTGGTGGGTCGCGGCGATTCTCTTTACTTCGTTTTTTCTTTTTCTTCATTTTCTTCTCGCTCGAGGGAAAAACCACCGACGGGCCGAAGGGCTTAGGAACTATACTTAACGGCTACCGCGAGCATTGCCGAGCGAATTTTGCAGTCGTGTGCCGCTGGCGTGTCTGATTCTCGCGCCACGTCGACCGTGAAGGTTCCCGGGCCATCGACATGGTCTCAGATACCTCTCGGGCTCCCCCGGTGCTTACGACGTCGGCGAATACCGTCGTCGATCGATCTGTACCGATTAATTTCGCGCTGATTAATACTGACGGTTTCGTGCGACCTTTCGGCTGCGACCAATTGCTGCAAAATAAAATTCGCCCGGCCATCACCCGTGTGCTGTTTTTCGCACGACGAATGACGGAGCGAGATAGAGCGTGGAGCATTGAAGGTTGAAAATGTGACGCGATATAATACCTTCGAACTGTTCGTGTTGCGAATCACAATCGGGCGGCGCTACGGGCGAATAATTGAAGGTGACGCGATGGAAAAGTCAACGATGACTGTACGGATCGATCGAACGACGTTCTCGTCGACGGCTGCCGAGTCATCATGATGGAGCATTGTTCTCTCGACCTCGTGTCAATTCGCAAGACGGAGACACGCAAGTCTGTCACGTGGCTCACGCCCGGAAATAATACTTTATAGTCCGTACTGTTGCTCTTCCACCCACTATTCACTCCTCCCTCCCCGTCGTCTTGTTTCGCGGGTAAACTCTAATTACGATTACGAATATATTAATATTTATAAATGTATCTTCATAGATCTGTATATCAATACCGTTCCCATTCGGCATGCCTCGGCATAGCTCGTTTTCACTGGGCGTTCATCTCGGACCTGATAACACACGAGTGCGAAAAGATATTCATTTGCCGCTCGATCTTGGGTTTCTTTAATACAAACAACACAATTCAACGTCAAATATCATTTCTTTTTTTAAATAAAAACGTTGTTTCGGTAGAGTAAACCATATTGTTTGATAGAAAAATTAAATTAATATTCGTTAAATCAATACTCGAACACAACGTGGAAACCATCGTTGCATCGCGCTGCGACAGATGAGATTTTCCCGAATTCAGGAGTTTTGTTACGAGCGGCGTTCTCGAGGTGCATCGATATTGTCTGGAGATTCGATCAAATTTCATTACGTTACATCGCAGCGGAGATCTTTCCGCTACCGATTGCAACGGAATTCCCCTCTCGCGCGTCCCGTTTTCCCGATAACGCTTAATGCTCTTTGTAGAATAACAGCCAACATTTCATCCGCGACCCACGGATATATTGCAATACTCACTTTAAAGCTTTGTAACGTTCCTTCTCCGGATTGTTGTCGGGCGGCTCGCACTCGAAAGACGCCAGCGCAAGTGCTGCGGGAACAACAGAAAAAAGATCGCCGGCGATTCAGAAAGACCGTACGAATTTAGCGACGGATTATGAGGGTTGAGCGGAATATGGATATCGCTTACTGTTCTCCGTCAGCACGGGGCTCGCCTGGAGGAAGGCAATGACGCGCGGATTCTTCTCGAACGGACAGGCGACTTGTTTCCACGCGATGAATTCGGTCACTTGCTTCGCCAGCTGCCAGAACTTCTCGAAGTTGATGTGACCGTTTGGCAGTCTGAAACGCAGAATCGAGCTTGAGCGCGGGGATTAATTAACGATGAGGTGAAGTCAGGTTCTCGGAGAGTATCCGACACGTCGCGGATCGATAAGCGACTTCCGATGAAGCCGAGATGAAGTCGCGCTCGTGTAATTTATTCCGACGTGCCTTGTCTCGCTAGATTATCCGACTTAGGAAATACCGTAAAATTGAATTACCCAAGTTCAGGCTACGCCTTTCGGAATCGGTCGGGGATTGAACGCGACTTCGCGCGACCACCTCGTGTTATTTCGTTTCGTCGTGAAAAACGCACGGAGTGGACAGTGCCGAGGAAGGGGATATCACTCACTTGTTGCTGCAACCCTCGTTGAGGAAGTAAAGGTCCTTAACGAGAAGGCTGAAGAAGGGCACTACGATCCGCTGGCGTTCGTCTGTAGCGCCAGCGCTACGCCACATCGCGGCCTTCAACGTACTGCGATAGCTGCTGAAATTACTGCTCGGGTCCATCTGATGCTCCAAAATCGAGAACTTGGCGGATTGCACCTTCGACCACTGAAAGCCGTAAAAACGCGTGTTCCGTCTACATTGCACCGGCAAGCCGAATGTCTGAGGACCGGGGATCGCGCAAGATTGTCGAGCGGAACGATTGAACGATGAGTATAAAAATGCAATAACGGTAAGCACATCGAAGGAATGGTCTCGGGAAAAATTCCCCATCGGCAAAAATCGTTATTCCACAACGGGAAATATCGGGACGGGAGGGAAATGGATGACAGGAGCCGGTGGAATCAGTTCGATAAGCTTATTTCCATATTATGAAGAAAGTTTGACGTGTACAAGAAGCACGGTAAAAAGTATTCTTGGCACTTATTCCACTGGATTATTAACGTCGTTATCATATTAACATATATTTCCAATCTATAATAATCTCATCCGTTTTGCATGGAACGGTAACGTTTTCGAAAATATTCATGATATTCAAATAGTCTATTAAAACTTAATGTTCCCCCGGCAATCGATATTTATTATATTAATATCCGGTTAGAGACGGTTAGTTCGCGACACGTTGACGTAAAAATTTAATACAAAAATACCACATAAATATTCATGTGCGAAAGGATATTTGTTACATCAAGATGACAGAATAAAAATGCAAATGCACAAAATTCAAATTTTTACCGTGCCATCAGCTTTCAGGGCGATTATCGTTTGCGATGCGTAACGCAATAACAAAAATTGATACTATGCTTTTCACCGAATTAACCAAACATTATTTTGCGCAACGCTTTCCGCGTAATATGATATTCGTGGTGCGACGCGGATCTCTCCGGGAGTTGATCTCACAGCGTGAGAGACTCGGGTTCGTTTGCAGTTTTCTTCGATTTAATCCCGTTCTTTAGACTGATCCGGTCGCAAAGCGTCGTTCTCTTAAAAGTGTGCCCGATAGTCGATGGATAATATTTGCATTCAACTCAAGTCTCAAAATCAGGGTACGATCAAGATGCTTCTTTACTTCGTAATCTCGATACTCTTTACCATAACAAACCCCTCCGACACTGATAGCTGTTTACCCAATCTTCGTGCTAACTCACATTTTTCTTTTTGCATCCTTCGGTTTTCTTTACTTTACATTAAGTAAGAAGATTGAGCGATTTTGCACGAGGTATGTGATTGATTTAATTTTATAAGCGATTTATTTATATTTATTTAGAACGGTCATGATGAGCTAAACACGGATAACATATTGTGTGCTATAAACAAATTATAATATCAAATAATCTGAAGAAGTCAGACTTTATTATTATTGCGTATATGTGAAAAATATTAAAAAACTGGTCGTTATTTTAGAAATATGCGCTTCTTTATACATATCTTCAACGACAGCTATAAATTTCTCTTTATTCGCCTCTTCTTTCCACATGTATAAACCGCGGTTGGAAAACCATACGTACTCGAGTTCGTAATATCAGGTTATACAGCGGATGCTCAAATCCTATAAATATTTTTCTATCTCGCAAAGTCTTATTCTATCCGTCGAGACTTTGACTTTTGATCCTGTCTCGCAGGTGTCTGATCCCCAGAGGGTACCTTTCGTCCGTCGCGGGAGCCATTTCTCTTGGCTTGACTCGACTCGACTCCACCGGAAACGCTCGTCTAGAGCAAAAACAGTAGCAATCGAGGACTCCTGGCAGATCTGGTAAATTGAAACTGGATGCGACGGGAAGGATGTCGGAATACGATCGTGGAAGGAACGGGATCTACTTTTCAGGAAAGGACTAGCGAGAAAATGTGGTAAGAACGGGCCGCGGGGATGCGAGAGTAATCAGGAATTTCCCTTGAAAAGACTTTTTTTTCGATGTTCGATGGTAAGAGTTTCAGGCTCGCGAAATTCGGTTGGTTAACTTACGGATAAGGTAACGCCGCTGGTAAGAATGATTTTGCAAGAAACGATCCGAAGATATTTGGTAGTGAAGAAATTAATCAGTGAGGAAATCTCATGAATACTGTAAACGAGTCCACAGGAAATTATTTTCCTTTAAATTATATCACCACGCAGGGAGAAATCTTAAATCAAGAATCGATATTCTCATATATTTTAATCAAGTTACATTTGCATCAATACAAATTCAATTAAATCAAAACTAAGAATCTTCTAAGAAAATTATAATATTCTTGTTTATATATAAGAATATCTATTCTTGACTCAAGACTAATTTTCTTCCGTAAACTCTTGAGGAAACATATGGTTGCCGATGCTGATTCATGATCGGTGTTACAAAAGGAATAAAATATACAATGATTACATATAATATAGTAAATAAAATAACCAATAACGTCTGCTCCAAAAATCATTATAATGCGGGACGAGTTCTATTGCATTTCCACGTCGATTTTCGTCACTTAGTCGTTCCATACGGTCGTTTACCGAATAGTGGTCCTGATTTCCCCCACTTATAAAGTTCCACGGACGGCCATTCGAAGATTTGCAATTTACGAAAACTCAATTCAAAGCTACTTCTTTCCGCGGTCGTTCTCCCGAGTAAAAGAATCATCTCATCGAACGGGCAGGATTATGGGCGTGAGTTACTTTTCGATATAAAACGGAGCGGGACGTGGCGGAGATGAAGAAGCGCGGAATATTCGTGAACACCAACGTAATTAGCTTTTTGAGAAGCGGAAGGCCTCCCTCACCGGCCGCGGCAAAGGCGGAGATGTCTTTCGCAGATTATCTCTGCCTAGTAAATTACTCCACCGCGACCTCTCTCACGCTGACGTCAGTCCTTCGGCATCGAAGTCGTATATTCGATGCAAGATGAGTCACGGAACGATTGAACGTCGGTTTCAAGCGAAACCAGCTAAAGCCGGAGCTCGTGAATCTACAAGAAATAGATGTTTAACCAAAGACGTTTAAACCAAAGTAAACATTTCACTCGCTGTAATTCGCACTTTCTGAGTCGCGCAATAACACTACCGCCACCAACACAAAGCTTCCTTTCATTCCTTTCATTTACATCGTTTAATTATATCCTCTTCTTTTGAGACTTCACTCCGTGAATATTATGTTTCTATTAGTCGAAAATATATATTTATATTGAACTGTTCTACATGTTGTTGAAATATATAACTGACAAGGGAGAGGTATGCCAGAATTAGGGTTAGAAATTATATTCGAAGCTTCGAATTTTTGAACATTCGACATATTATATTCGAATAACGAAATTTTGAAGTCTGAAAATTCGAACATGCGGATATTCGAATATTCGAGTGTTTGAATATTCAATACTTCGAAAACTGGAAAGTACAAGTATGATATGAGCGAAAATGAAGGAAACGCGTGTGCTGGATCATATTACATATTACAAAACGAACGTTTTTCAATTCGTATCTTCCTTTCCTGAAGCTTAATAATCCTCACCACGGCGGACAAGGCGGATCTCTGCTGTGAAAAATTCGAAACTCACCGCACGATTGCGTTATCCTCGATTACGCCGCGCGTATGAAAAGATCGGTTAATTGTTCGCGATCTAACTACCGCCGAACGTATCTCACATTGCTTTCACGATAGCCCCCGTGAATAGAGCTCCAGCGGCGCGTTAGCACAAAAGTAGGGGGCGTTAAATTTTCATTAACGAAAATTACCGAGCAAACCGTCCGTACCTCCGACACGTTTTCGTTGATAGTTCCAGCAATTATTTCACGCACCTCCTATATAAATCAGCTAGTCTGGTCAAATGAACTTTCTATATATTATTATTCTATATAGTATAAGCCGTTCTCCGTATCAAACTCGTCGAGGGATGGAGAAAAAAGGACGGAGGAAAGGAGGAAGGAAGACAGGAAGAGAGAGAGAGAGAGTAGAGGGCGAGCGCAAAAGATATGCGCCGAATGGTTGGCTAAACTCGTAATTGAAAACGAGGAAAAAGCTCTCTTCACGGTGTAATACTTTTCATGACTCGAGTCTCTTGGTGTGGCTATATTACTAAAAAGAGGACACGAGGGTGCTTCTTGTCAAGACGTACGAAGGTATGTACGTACATACGTAGCGATTCCTGAAACTTCGCTTCGCCTCGGACATAAAAATAAGCTGAGAAAACGGACGGATGTAAGAATATGCGAGTATACCGGCGGAATAAGTCGTAGATTTCACGACGAGGTTGAGACTGACTTTCAGCCCGGTCAGAAAATAATTCAACGCTGCATAAATATCTTAATATTTGAGTTCTCGAATCAAATTTCTTGTCGGCAGCGTCGCTTAAAATTTTATCGGGACGCAATATTTGATCTTCCATCCGCGCGGCGCACCCCGTCGGAATGTTTACGCTGCGACGTAATCATCTTCTCATGCCTGATACTTCGTTTAAAAGTTCCGCAGCGAGAAACAATCTTTGACTCTCAGGAAATGTAATTTCTCGGACGCCAAGCTCGCTCAAAGAAAGAGAGAGAGACAGAGAGAGAGAGAGAGAGAGAGAGAGAGAGAGAGAGAGAGAGAGAGAGAGAAAAATATAAACGCGCGTGAGGTTATTTGCGCTTGGAAATTTCTCTTTTTGCGCCCACCGCGTTCAAACAAAGGCCCCGGACGAGTTTCGGGGCGTTATTAAAAAAGGAAACAGGAACGGGCGACGCGTGGAGGTCGTCGTCGCAGTCGCCGCCGTCGGACGACGGCGTAACAATCAACGGAGCTTTTTACTCGATGCCTTCGCCATCGGGGAAGCACACCGTGGAACGATATACGTGTATGGGTATGTGTGTGTGTCGATTACTTTTTTCGTTCGTCACGCGAGAGCACGACGGATGTAGATTTCTCGGCCGTTTCGACTCGTCTATTTGTCCGCGCGTGACAGGCACGTTTGTTCTTTCCGCCGACGTCATTTGCCGACGCGAGCGCCGAAACGGGGTAATATCGTTTCTCCCCTATCTCGGCGAGTAATAAAATTACGCTCTGCGGCGGACGGATTCGAATTTGATGACATAATGTCGATGCCGTGACGTGGGAACGCGCGCACCCTCGGGACACAACGGTGCAGTAGCTAAAGCGAAGAGCACAAGGAGCCGCCGGCTGATTCACTATTGTTTCCTTCGCAATTCGCGTCTCCCTTTCCCTCTCTCCCTCTCTCTTTCTCTGTTCGCGAGACTGTTAACGCGAGACAAAGTCGATCATCCCGCGATTTAATAAATCCCTCTCATTAGCCGAGCGGTAATAACGGAATCGTGGTAATCGTAACTAATTGAAACGTCTCATAATAGTCGATTATGCATTACTCTCTCTCGACCACGCGAGAAGAATTTCGATGAATTCACCGACTGTTCGCCGACTGATTTAACGTAAATCGTTCTTTAATTATGATAAATTACCTCGCGACTGATCGCGAATATATCTCGCGGAGATAAAGAACATTAATTATATTATCGCCCGGCGAGCACCATTACATTATTTCTGCCGTTATTATTTAACAATACGTCGCATTATTTGCGGTGCCAGATTAAAATCACCACATCGGCCAGTAATTTTAATCCCGACCGGTGTTTATTCCATCTCCAAGGACGTGCCTGAAATACCAAACGGCTTACCGATATGTCCGGATTTAGAGGAAGTGCGGGTAATATGGAATACCACAATCTCTAGACCGTTAAGTGTCGCAACTTAGCGGATGGCAACGGAATTATTGGCTGCTGAACCCCTAATTTAATCTACAAAGCGACAGCACAGTACAGATCGCAACATAATAGAGATCGTGTGCGGTATGTACGTCCAATTTTAGTTTTTCCGTCTGTGTTTCAGGAACATGTTATAAAAAATACTTGGCATTACAATCAAATGAAAACTAATTTAAGTTACCTTTAATAGTTTTGACTTATCTTAAAAAAACCTTAGGATATTCCGAAATACCCTCTTTAGAACATAACGCGTGCTAGTAATAGAGAGAGAGAGAGAGAGAGAGAGAAAGAGAGAGAGGGAGAGGAAAAGATATAAAACAACTGTTACATGTAATGCTTAAAAATTCCAACGACTTGATGGACCGTTTTCTCCGATTATTAAAGATTGAATTACTTCCCGCTGACAGGACAATGCGTCTCGTCGTTATTGATGTAAATATTAATTACACGCGGGAGCTTTCGGGAAATGCCGTGTCCGACGGACGAGTACCGCCGGGAGCGACGACTGGATTAAAGGAATTCCTGGACGGGGTGCATTCGCGTGGAAATCGAGAATACGTAATAGTGCGAGCTCTTCCCCCTGTGGGCGTGGAACGCCGGTCGGGCAATTAGCTAATTCCCAACGTGAACGAAAGGAACGGCGCGCGAGAACAACGTTGCCGAGCAACGTCGTTTGACTTGAAACTTTTTAATTAACCAAGTCGCGCGCGGGCTACATTTCGGGTCTCCCCCGCGGCGCCAGGACCGACCGCGACCAGGAAAAATTCAATCGAGCCAATTTGACCGTTCTCCCACCGCCTTCTAATTCCCCTCACCCCCTTCGCCGCTCTGACAACTGCTTGACGTCTCTTTCTGGTTCGCGACGCGCCGGGAAACGATCGACTGACTTCTTTGTGAACCGCACTAGCACCAGATCCGACGTATTTTATCCTTGATTTATCATATATAGAGCGATTCTCGATTATCGTGTAATCAACGCTAAGACGGATCTTTATTTAACACGTTCACTGCCACGTCATATATATGTGTGATACAGCGATCTCTCATGAGAGAACAGAGCCGCATACGCGTGACGGAGATCATTTTTCTTCCTATGTCCACATCAACAAATTCAAGTCTGTTCTACAAAATTATTTAAAAAATGTAACGTGACCTGGGCGGTGATCTCCAAATAAATCCTGATAGCGAACGTGTTAAATTTCCGAGGTAAGGTTTTACTTCCGGTATAGAGAAAAAGGTTTCTTTGCTTAGCTTAGGTTTCTTTAATATAAAATTTGATAGAAAAAACAGTATTATTTAAAGGAAATAATGTTTGACTTTAAATAAAAAAAATTTCTTTCATTATGTATTAAATATTGTCCCCCGATGAAACAAAAAAGTTTTTTTAATATTTGTCATTTCTTTCAAGTAACTTATTGCTCGTGGCAATCGTTGTAACGTTCGGATAAAAATACAAAAGAAATATGTTATTTCACGTAAAGATATTTATTGTTTGAGAAACCAAACAATTCTGTTCGTTTGAATCAAATATTCGTTTGTTCGCTTCATTTCGAAAGAAACGTTCGTTTTAATCTTAAGAATTAAATAAATTTCATTAAAAAGAAAAGAAATCTTTTTCCCTGTGCATGGTTATTCGCTAAAATCGCGAAGAAAGGAGTATCGTGTGACCGCTCGGGAATGAGATTTTCCTTCTCGCGGTTAAACACGGGACGGACTTCAATAAGACGCACACACAGTTTTACCCACGTTGGCATATTCGCTCGTCGGGCAGGAATCCTGAAGAGAGACGTATCGGGTAATCGCGACGGTGGAGCGCGTGAGTTTTCCTTTCTCGCAGCTGGATATTGCTGAATATTTCTGCCGCAAAACTCCGCTTTCATAAACTCGAATTCTCATCGAGGGCGAAATCATGGGGAAAAAGCACTTATTTAACCGGCCAGAGTTTTCGGCTAAGCCGATTACGGGTGGAGAAGCGTGGCGAAAATCGCTTGCCCGGCGGCTCTCTTGCCGTTCTCGGAATCCGCGCGGAAATTTGCCTCCCGACGTTTTGTCACGCTCAATGTTGTGTGTCACAGCGGTGCGCACGCCGCGCTCGATTTACGAGGATTACAGAGCGCTTATTGCGCGCGGCGTACAATCCTCCTCGCGAAGGGGTGCGAACGCACGAGAACACCGGTCGTGTATGCGCTCCCTTTCGCCCATTATCATCTCCGGCCGTCGCGTCCTAGCGCGAAAAATGTGCCGTCGCCGCTAAACCGGTCCCGGATTTTCGCACTTTTCGCGCACGCTCTTGCAGTCGGGAATTCAGAAGGTATACACGCCCGCATTGTTCGCGTGAATAAAACGTATCGATGGTCCGGTTTCAATTCGCCCGGCGCGATTTTCGCGAGAAATCGTCGCTGCGAAATTGCAACGAAGCCCGCCGAGTGAGTTTGTAATTTAAGCCGATGCGTTGAAATAACGTCTCTCAGATGTTGCAACGAGCCAAATGTGCACGCGTTGTTAATCGCAAACCTGGCTTGATCTTATTATTTCGTAGTAACGAAAATCTCGAAAAAATTCTACGAGAGATTTTGCGAAGTTGTAAATCGCGTTGCTTTCGTTCTTTTTAAATGTGGAGTAAAATAATAACAAGTATAATAATAATAATAAATAATAAAGTAGATATATTTAAACAATCTGGTATGTGCACCATTTTATAAATATTCACATTTTTATTTTATTTTAAGTATTAATTATTCATGACAGCTTATGTTTTGTTTATTTTGTCTTCATGTATTCTCCTATTTTAATTTCATTCAAATACTCTGTAATCAATCAGCGACTGGTTCTTCTTTTACGTATATATTCTGAAGGGTTTTTTTCCCGTGAATAAAGATTATTATTATTATAAATGCCACCGTAAAGAATTAATATTGCTCGCGGAAAATACCGGTGATACCGAAGTTAATCATATTACGATATTCGAATTGAAAGATGATGATCGGTTAAGAAGAAATTCACTGGTACTCACCGTCTTCTTCAAGCGAGATATCGGGGACATGTTGAGGCCAGCGATGATCGCCATCAGGGAATTGAAGTTGCCGATGTTGAAGCATTCTCGGGCGGTCTCGATCCAATATTCGACGACACGGACGCGTTGCTTCTTCTTCGCATGCTGGAAGAACATGGAGAAGTTCGTCGTTGTAGATTGCACGATATTCTCCGAACATTCGGAGAAACTTGACGGAAACTTCTTTATTTCATCGAAACCGTTCCGTCGGGAAACGTTATTCTGAGCGAGGGCAAAAATCGTATATACGAAATTGCACGAGACACGTAGATTATATTTACCTTGCAGACCTCCGTCGCTACGAAGTAGCTCAGTCTGTTGAACCACTGAACGTACGACTCGAGATTTCGGGTTTTCTTCATATCTTTGAAGGAAGTTTCTAAATGCGGTGATTCCTGGGAGAATAATTAAAAACAACACAATAATCAGTGAAATCTTATTGAACGACAGCGGACGCATTGAGAACGCGATTTGTCGAAAAATACACTCACCTTGGCGAAGGCCTGCACGAATTCTTCAGGCCCGATGTAAGAGAGCCTCTCGAGTTCCACGTGAGTCAACTGCTGCGCCAACACAGTGGCCGATGGACAGAGTTCGGTGATGTCCACCTGAAAGCCGAAATAATAATTCCACCTTAAAGCGGCGTGTATGATGAACCTTGTGCCTTAGAAGAAAAAGCTCCGTTCGCAAGTACCGAATTGAGAACCTAGTTGAAAGTGACGTATTCAAATATCAAAACTGTTCCGGACAGCGGGGAAATGGAAATTGCGGTTGTTTTATCAAACTACATGAGCGCTGTTTCCAGACAACACACAAACGACATAATCACGCCGCGTTCTATAGATTTATAGTTTCCCCAACGCTCTATTAACTATTTCGATTTCGCAACTTCTCCGGCGCACTCATATTGTCCTCGGAATAATCGATTCGACTGTTCGCAGATTCGTATGCATAGCCAGGAGCCGAGAAGTCCGCCGTTTCGTTCCGAAAGCGCGAATGTCGTAAGGTTAAAAAGGGACAATGGGAGGAGGCGTTGCGCGAGAAAAGGGAAACTCGCCGAGCGTCGCCGTAACAAATGGGCATTTACACCGTTTGCCGTCTCGCGCGTTTGACTTCTATACTTTTCCGCCCCTCTCCTCCTCCCTCCTTCCTACGTCTGGGCGGATCCGGACCTTTCAGGGCTTCGATTTCTTTGCTCTTCCACGGTCGCCACTTTATTCTATTTGATTCGTCGGCGATATTCGCTTCAATGCAGCATCTCAAAGGCCACTGTGACAGGGAGAAACAGAGAGGAAGAGAGAAAAAGTAAAGCAGAGAGAGACAGAGAGAGAATAGGGCTAACATAGGGACTTTGCAAGCTTGCACCCTCTCCTACACCCCCGAAGGTCGTCGTCTTACGATCGTGTGAGCGCCACGTGTACACGCATGCTTTGACAGCTTTCAAGGATGTTACATGGGGATGGACGGTGGTGGTAAATATATATATATATATATATATACTACTATATATATATATATATATTTCCTGGCTGCGGGGCTGGAGGAAAGACGTCGCCGAAAGGCGACGAATAAAATCACTGGGCCGCGTGATCCGTTTAGGAGGAAATGGCACTCTGGGGCGGACTTCCCTCCATCGAATTATATCGCCGATCGTATTATCGAAGTGCCGGGCATAGAAGTGGACAGAGACTAACTACGAGAAGAAGAAATCGCTTTGACGAGAGTGCCGGTAAAAGAGCTAATTCAAGAGTCCCCGAGCGCGACAGGGGAAGAGGAAGTTCCGCGCTTTGGAGCGTAAAAAGAAAATATCGCGGTGGATCTGAGGCATCACGGGGACGAACGATCGGGATATGATATTTTCCTTGAACCGGTAAACACGGACACTATTTCTCATTTGGCGGAGGCAAATTTTCGCCACAGGCTAACATCATTAACTCGTGACTGACACGAGCCCGGTAAGGACGTACGGACGAATTCCCTGTATTGCCTCATCGATAAAATGGAAAAGAAACAGCGGCCGAGAGCGGAAGCAAACGCGCGCCAAGCTGCGGGCGGAAACTAAGTTCTATCGTTGGTTTAATAGAGAAAACATAGAAGTTCGAGTTGCAAAAAAAAAAAAAAAAGAAAGAGAAAAAGAGAGAGATGTTACAACACGGTCGAAACTTTCGTCCGAAAAGAGCTCTCGTACTTGTTTCTCTTTTCCTCCACGCCTTTTTTTCCTCCTCTTCTTTCACTTCTCAAGTCAATCGCGGGAATGGCGGAAGATTCTTTTAACACCCGACGTTAACTCCCGCTGATTGCAGAGCAGCTCGCTGATTAAGAAACGTAACGAGGCGCCATTGTTCCGGCGAGGATTCCGCCGATCGTGTCGCCGATATTTAAAATCGTTTCCGCCTTTCGTCGGTTATCGGGGACCGCCTTGTTTCGCCTGTGCCGTGGCCAATTACGATAATGAAATCAGTACATGCCGACGATGGGCGAAGTTAGTTCGCGCCGGTTTACTGGGGCAAAGTCGTTGAAAAGACCTAATCGGTCGGTGCGGTCTCGCGGACCAGCGGGGGGCGAAGTTGCAAGTTGCCCGGAGATTCGCCGGAGAACGATAATACGCGGCGCCGATGCCCAAAGAAGCGTTGTAGCGAGATATTATGCAAGCATTCTCTCTCTCTCTCTCGCTCTCTCTCTCGCCTTAGATGCGAGAGAGGAAGAGAGAAAGCGCATTGCTCTCACGAGATTCGCGTAATTTCTTGCGCCGATTAATGAGCGTCTCTAATCCCTCGCCGCATCGTTGCGTGACGAAATTATTTCGGAAATGAAAAGCAAAATGGAAGAAAAAAAGACAAAGAGCCGCGCGCAAAATTCGCTAACAAATCGTCGAATGAAGATGCGCAATGCGATTACTCGTTGTCACGACCACGCCGGTATACTACGCCGGTAAAAAATAGTCAATTCCGGAAATGTTGAAATCGATACGCGGTGCATCAGTTTGTGCCTGCATCTTTTATCGAGATTCATATTTGAAAACTGCACCACCACTCTGGAGAAGTAAACGGATACCGTTCGCGTCGCGATATTTATTTCCACGTGTCGTAGATTGGACGCGAATCTCCCGGCATATAAATCGATAAATCATTAGTCGCGAATCGAAGTTTCAGTGCGGGGATGATGAACGAGGCGCGTTGAATTAAAGAGAAATATCAGCGAATTACCGATTGATACGTTCCACCCGAGCCGGTAGTTATTTCATCTCCATGTTGACTCGGAAAGTACCCTTGCATTTCCAAGGATCGATGAGAAATCTTGAGGAATCAGATTATTTGCCGCTCGTCGAAATAGAAATGTTTATTTCACACGCGACGTTCTTCGGCGGTCAACGACAGTTGCCGCGAGCGAATGTGACACGAAGACGTTGACGGTTTTTGATGCGCGCCGCGCACTTGACGCCAACTTCACCCCCTCTTCCCCCCCGTTCCCCCTCTTTGTTCAAGAATAAATATGCAGCAGCAAAAGAGATCATTTGCAGCATCAAGGTAGGAGAATGGCTTTTACAATATTACACCTTGAGATTCTTCATTGATTCTTCAAGTTCGACAGAACCTGCAGGATCAATGCGGGACCAAAATTTTGACTTGGGACACGAATGCTAAATTCCGTGTTGAGCCAAGACTGCGCAGACGATTTTGATAGCTTTTTCGATCGCTCCTTTACCATCCGAGGTCTTCTTCTCTCTTTCCTTGGCATATAATTAACATGCCGCTCGTAATTAACTTCCGAATTGAGTACGCGTATTATGATATGCAACATGTTTCAGCCGCCTTTACCGCAAATTGGCTCAGTTGCGAAATGTTAACACTGACTACGCTAACGACGGCGAAAAGTTCGGAAATCGTTTGCGAGTTATAATTAGAAATTCCGAAATTTTGCTTTACCACACGTAATGAGCTTTTATGTGTAGTATGTTGGACTCGAATGACGAAGTATGTGTATTTAGTTTCATTGGTTTCATGGTTTAACAACTCGCTAATGCAGACGCCGCAGAAGCATGTAAATTCATTTACGCGGCGAACTAGAAAAACACCGTAATGATTTGAGGAAGTTGTTTCTTCGTTTCTTCGTTGGGAGAAACGAGAAAAACAAAAAAATATCGCCGATTCCTCTCGAGGAACGTGCCTGGCGGAATCATTTTCGAGATAAAGCAAGGCAAGCACATAGTAGGTACGCGATGAAAACAAAATAAGAGCAAAAAAGTAGAGAGAAAAAAGTAGAACCGCACACGCCACATCTTCTCGTGAAGTTTCGTTTGAAGGGAACGAGACTCGTTCGAATCGACGGATAAAATAAATTGAAAGTTAAAACGAAATTTCTAACGACGGAAGGCGGAGGGAAGCAGGAAGGAGTGCAATCGTGATCTCGAGGTGTTTCTGCCAGCTTTCGATACAGGATGCACTTAGAAGTTGCTCGATAGAAAGAAAACAAATATCGAAAACTCATTATTGGTCTCGTAAGTTACTTCTTGTCTCGTCGGGCAAAAAGAAACGCAATCCTCCTTCTTTTTTTCCCTCTTTCCCTGGGAAAGGCGCGACACGTAACGAACGAGACTGCGGCGCGCGCAAACGGCGCACGGCGAACTAATAATTCAACTCTTTCCGTCCCGAGGATTATTTGCGCCACGTCGTCGTCGTTGATGGATACGACGTAGTTACAGTTCGAGATCCGCGGAAACGCGCGAAGCTCCCGAACTGCGCGTAATACGTCTTTCCTAATTAAAGACATGCCCGTTAATTAAAGAGCAACACACGCGATACTGCAGAAACATCGACGCAGAACATTGCTGTCTCGTTGTAGTTTACGATGAGCGGTTAAAAATCCTCGAGGATGGAACGTGATGAAGGAGGAGGAGCCGGTTGAAACTTTCGGGAAAAATAAAGCGATACGAAGATGAAGCGTAAAGGTGCAGGGTGGGAAGGATGGAGAGAGAGAGAGAAAGAGAGAGAAAGAACGAGGCGAAAAAAAAAACGAATACGGTATTAAGACCGAATTATTGGCCTCGAGAGTTATAACTCGTTCCGGAGCGAAGTTGCCGCCGTCGGCACGTACGGGACGAGTTGAAAAAGCGCAGGTGAACTTGCGGTTTAATAAGCCGGAGCTTCGCAAGAGTTCGACCCGCTCTCTCACCTCTGCCGTTTCTCGGCCTGTCTCGTCTACCCTTTCTTTCCTCCGCTTCTTCTTACGTACTCCTCCTTTTTATGTACGCGAGCTTTCGCCTCTACCCTCCAATCTGTCTTGAAGGCGTCCCGAGTAATCTCTCCGCGTAAACGAGTCACATACATCGAAGGAGAGGGGTGGAGGAGGGGAGGAGTTATCCACGACGAAATGGTCTTCGTGAGATTTTTCTTCTTCCTTTTTTCTTTCTTGCGTTCTCGGGCACAATGCTCTCGGAGGTACGACAATGGCGAGTGGGCTTTAACAAATATTAATGTTATCCCGGAGCGATGACAAACACGCGCGTTCAAGCAGTCCCCGGTCGCAAAGCAGGTCATGCGTCTTTCTTTGCTCGGAAACCGGGGATTACGTTCGTACCGAGGATTCACAGTGGTACACGACGGCGGTAGGTAATATCGCGGAATCGTTATCGTATATTTATTGGCTGTTTCACGTAAATCGACGTGGACTGTTTCACGTAAATCGTTGCGCGAGCGAAGCGCGGGCAAGGCGGATCACCTGAAACGCCCGGAGAGGCGCACGCGTCTTTCGCACCGCGCAAAGTTGCGTAGTTATTTTTCTTGCAGAAATTTTCGCGACATTTATCACACGGTCGGCAAATACCGCATCCATTTTAATATTCCTCGCAGCGAACCCGCCCGGAGATTCTGTCTCGCGGGTTTAATGGAAATTCTCGTTTTAAATATACAAACCCAACTTTATTCCCGTTTCGCGCGTAAGTAACAGTTATTTCGTATTCATGGCGGAATTATTGCGTGCGTTAGTTTTATCAGCGGGCACGCGCGCGAGCGCGGATTCTCCGTCGACTCGCTGTTTACATTTCGCTACGTTAATATTTCGGGAGGGAGGGGGAGAGAGAGGATGATCCGATTTGGAGTACGAGGGATGATTTTCGAATATATATCCGGAAATTGCTTATTACAAATAAAATACATTATCGACGACGGCGCAGAACGATGGCGGAATTTTGTGAGATTCAACAGTTGCGAAACTCAGCACCTTTTAAAAAGGCCCACAATTTTTCCCTCGTTATGGAAATCCGCGAAGAATCGTTCTCGTGTTTGAGCTTGTAAATATATCGCGAACACTGCATAATAATACTGCGATATTATTTAACACGTTCGCTAGCCCCCGATTTACTTGAGGAAATTCTCCCCACGGAACACCTTGTATTTTCTCGTGAAATTGTGTAAAATCAAACTTGGTTCGTTTCCGTGGACACGGAAGGAACAATTACCGCTGTCACGCGCGTATATGACGCTGGGTAGCGAAACGCGTTGAGCAGAATTGAAAGTTTGGAGTAAATCCGAGCTCGTACTCGTAACTGTAATAATCCATTTCATTAACCACCATGCATCTAAAGATGAACTCCAGACGATCTTAAATATAAGATCTGACTACGAATACCGGCCTAGGATCCTAATACTTGTATCTAATCATTATAATCTTAAAAAAATCCTCTTTGTTCAATTTTTATCAGTACATAATCAGATTTACCATAGCAGGGATTATCTTGCGCTCACGTAGGATTCGATATCAGATATATCTGACAATTTCTGGTCTAGATTTAGGGCCTGGATAGAAGTGGGGGAAAATTTTATAGACCTTTTCCGGCGGCCGTTTTTAATTTTCGCGGTGCGTCACCACTCGTGTGACGTCGGTAATAAGTGGGTTAATGCCCGGGAAGACACTCGTCTTCCGGGAGTTTGAAGTTAACTATTCGCGCGGTGCGCGTTGATGATCTCTCCTCGACTTTGTACAATTGCCGTGCTCTCTCCGGCCCGGGTGCGGGATTACATCCTCCGATGCGATCTAATTCCGTTTTACGGCGTTCTACGCGGGAACACCCTGGATAAAGTCTATCGGCGACGGCGCTTGATTTTTTACGAACGCTCGCGAACGTCCGGAAGATTTGCAGTCGCAGGTGGTGCGTGTCGTCGCGGGGATGACTCGATCGCAACAAACCCATTCTCGTTTGCAACGAATCCACGGCTTCAAACGTTGTTTCGCCGTGCGTTCGCGCGCGAGTCGAGAGCGCGGCATCCCGCGGACGCGGGGGCAACGCGTGCGCGCATACGCAATTTCGCACTGATTAGCCGCGCATGGTCCAGTATATTTAACTAACTAATGCAGCTGCAAATTACCTATTAGCGAGTGTGTTACAAGCGGTGGTGGATAGGCGCGCGCGATAATCAAATTAACGGAATAGTTAACGTCCCCCCGCATGGAAACTACGCTAACGCCGTTGGACTAACCGCGCAAAGTGCACGTACGCGCACGTAAATGTCCAAGTTTGTGCGTTCCGATCCGACGCGCGCACGCGCACACATACCGGAAGAATGGTAACACCGACGAGCACCGGGAACGCGTAAAGGGTTCGCTTTACGATAATCGTATGAGGAACGAACAGAAGTGAGACGGAGAGAGGGAGGGAGGGAGGGAGGGAGGGAGAAAGGAAGGAAGGAAGAAAGAGCGAAATAGATAGAACTCTAAGAGTAGGAGGAGTGTTCACCCTCCGGAGGGAGAATATTATCGCTTTATTATGCTAAAAGTCCTCGAAAGGTCGATGTGATTACGGTAAACCGAGTAATCGTGCTTTGCAACGTCGGCGGTCGGCAAGTTGGATTACGCGAATATAAATCCATATTGAAAGTGCGAGGGGGAGGGGGGGTGCGGCCGATGTTCTTTTCCTCGTTAATGCGTGAAATCAGGCTGAGATTATGGAGGCGGCCGGTAACGCGAGTTGCGCGGAAACGAATCCCCGCGGTCGCGGTCGATTTTATTTTGCGGCCTCGAGCGTGACTTCTTGCGTCGGAATTTTCAGCTACGAGCTAATGTCTACGACGCGCATCGATGTGTGCGTTCGCAAGTTGGATTCGCGCGTATGAAAGCTCACAGAGAGGAAAAAAAAAAGGGAAAGCTCGCACAAAATACAAGCAGGCGGGCGGGGTGTCGCTACTCAACTCGCCGGGAAAGCCTGTAAATTACCGTGTATTATTGTTGTTAGCATTGAAAATCACGCGATTCTCTATTTGCGAATGCGTTATTTCGATTAATAACTTCGCTTTGTTTAATCAACCGCTGTAAATGTTTCGTGCTCGGGCGGAAATTACATTCGTCAAATGCATTCGCAAATTCGATAACAGTTCCCATATACGTTCCTCTCCGTCCGTCAAAACAGCCGAATAAAGAGTCGATTCGAAAAGCTCTCGATCTCAGTGGAAAACAAAAGAACTTTATGAAGGGAAGGGAAGGCAAAGAAAAAAAATGGAACGCTGAATTCACACGTGCTACAGCGGCGAGCTTGCGTTGTGTTCTGTGCTCTTCAAGATGCACATGTTAAGATCGATCATCGAGTCACTATTTAGCTTCAATTAACATTAGGGCACACATATGTGCACAGAGAAAACGGTTTATTTGGATTTAATGCACGCGTTTGACTTGGGTTCGCTTAATATAAACAACATAGTTTAACATCAAACATCATTTTGTTTGACCGAAAATGTTGTCGTTTCATTAAAGTAAATTACGTTATTTGATAGGAAAAGATTAAAAATTGTTAAATTTAATCTAAAGACGCGAATCGAGGTTTCCGATTCTCAACGCTTCGGGAATTAAAACAAGTCGATTTACGTCTTCGGTCCGCAATGAACTACTTCCCGTTGCCTCAGAAGAGCGAAATACGATCGGCATGGACGGGCTTACTCGGAACCAAGAAAATGGAATTTCCCCGCAAAGACAGAGAGAGAGATCGCTCGCACCGTACATACGTTCCGCCTCGTTCCGATCGCGTCCCCGTCGCCCGGTGTTCATGCCGCCTGGTATTACCGGACCGGCGTCTCCCCTCTCACTTTCGCGCAACGAAATTAACGGATATCCGATCAGCACGTGCGAACTCTGCACAGGCAGATCGGCGGCGGTGTTTGCAGTTTGGAAAACGTCGCGCTACTAAGCCACTAACTAAGCCGAGGTGGGACAGCGAAATGCAAACTGACGGCCGCAAATGGGCGCTTGTACCGAAACTCACGGACCTGTGTAAGCTGCTCCGTCGCTGCCTCGGTCGCCAGCCTGGCCAAGCCCTCCTCGTACCTTTCCAGGGCCGTCAGTCGTAGCAGCAAGTTTTGCAGCAGCGCCGAAACTTCCTGCCTGGCCGCGGCGTCGACCGCAGCGACTTTCTGCGTGATGGACCTGACGTGACCCATCACCCTCTCATCCCGGAAGTCGTACGGGAATGTTTCCGTCCACTCCGCCAGCAGCTGCACCAGCCGCGGCACGAAGCGGTGCAGCCGCTCCTGAAACACGCACCGGATTTGCTTTTTCCTTAATTTGCAGCTTGCTAAGTGCGGTGAAGGTCGGCGCAAGGGAAAATGCACGCTCTCTTGCCGCGACGGGCTAAAGTGACGGAGAGAGCGGGATCGAGATTAAAATTACTCGTCAAAATCTCGCCGGTGATACCGTTTTCCCACGTAAATGAGTAATTTTAACTAAAACAAAAAAAAAACAACACTGCGGCAAGCTCCGAATAAGCTAGATTCACCGAATACCTTGTTAACCCTTTCGATCCCGTTGGGGTTACACGGGATATCCAGTAATTTTCTCGGCACTCGCGTGCAAGTAAAACGGGTGAAACTGAACAGAAAAGTGCCGTTTTGCGAAATTTCGCAATAGTCAATAAGAAATTAATTAATCTATACAAACTAAATCATCCATGCGAGAATAAAACACGGTTAACACTGTTACTCGGGAATACATCTCGATATCCGCGGAAGGAGACGCGTAATCGTATATAACGCGAGAATGCAAATGAGCCGGCGAGCCTATGCGGGGCTCGAGAAAACGATCTGTTTTAAGTACCGTAGATAAGGAACAACGGGGAAAGAGCGACGGGATTTTTTGCGCTCTTGGGGGAAGCGGTGAAAGGAACGAGGAAAGGGTGCGCGTATAGGCATGAGCGGGCTGGATGACTCCGCGATGAAACGATAATACACGCGGCTTTCGGCGTAGGGCTTCGTGCCCGCTCGCAGATCGCGAGTACACACATCGCGGGATGCTCACCTTACCGCCCTCCCCATTCAGATTCTGCTGATGCTCGCAGAGAGCGCAAACCTCGCCCAGAAGTTCGTGCGGCTTGATGAAGAGCCTGGCGCTCAGCAAAAAGGCGAAGAGATACGCCCGATCGGGATAATATTCCTCCGTAGGCACCATGTGCTGCACCAACGCCTCGAGTGAGCCTGAGACGAGGTTGCCGTCTCGGTACACCAAAGCCTGAAACAGTATACGGGTTCGCTTGAGAGTACGGTAACGTGATAACGCGACGCATTGCGAAGCCGGCGCACTTTCCCGCAATGAACTCGGTATAATAATGCCTAACGTACGAGTAATGAAATTCGGAAAGGGGAAGCCGAAATATCTCGGGTGACGCTTTCGGGCCGCTCACCAAGTTCCGTTGGTACCCAGGATCTATTTCCTTAAGTGACGCGGCGCCCCGTTTAAAATGCAATTCGAGAGAACGAGCGATTTCAAGGGAATTTCGGGGGTCGTTTATGCGTCGTAAAGAATTTACTTCGCATTTTAATAAACGGTTTCCATAACAACAATGACAATAATAATAACAATTTTATTGATTTCGGCATGCATAATCAATTTTGCTGAAAATTCACATTTCTTATTTAGTTAAATAAGGTTATAGGAAAGTATTTTTCTTCGGTAAATAATAAACTTATGTAGAGGTAATATCGCAACTGAAAATCCGACACTTTCGGGACCAACTGTCTTAATAATCTAGTCAGTTTTAAAATCAGTTTTTTTTTTATGCATGCAACACGAAATACCGCTCATCGAGCCGAACACGTTGTTACACTCGGGAAACTTCCCCTACCGTGGGTTCAATAACAATTTTGCACACATAACTGATAACTCATTCACGCGACGTCGTCACAGAGATCACAAACTGGCCCCGAATGTATGCAACTCCCGAAACTTCTTGAGCTTTTTCCGCCGTGCATCCGCGCAACGCTGCACATGCGACTTTCACGGCTCGATACGTGCGCGGCATGTAGAATTTGTTTGGTAGATACTGCCGAACGCCTCCGCGGAACGCGCATTTGAGCTACCTCGTTTCGAAGTTGGCGAATGCTAAATCTGCACATCGCCGAAGTTGCGCGCCGCACTCGGAGGTAAGCTCTAACAAGCTGTCGGGGGTTCAGATTGGAATTCCAACTTAAACTTATTACGCCTTAATGCGGCATTGACGAGGTAATATTTCCGCTGCGGAACGGCCGTCGAACTCCCCGTGCATCCGATTACCCCGATAATCAGCGATATCGTCCCGGAATTGCTCACCTAAATTTGCGCTTAGCACACGATGGTCATGCGAACGGAATTACTGACACGCTTATTGCTCTGCCACGCGTAATCTTATCGGTGATCGGTCAATGATAAAGCTGACGCGAGAATATCGAGTAATATTTCATGAATGTAGCCGATAACTAATTACTGAATATGATATAGAAATATACATATGAAAATTGGTAAATATACAAATTTTATATCAATTTCAAATATTTATCTTTCGTGTCAAATTTTTATTAAAAAAAAAGGGGGGAAATAGGACAATCTTAAAAGTACACAATTGGCCTCGTTTGCTTTTTTTCCGAAGGTTAGACGATACTTTCTTCATGGAGAGGAATTATACACTTTTATGCTTATTTGTGTATTTATTTTCCTATATTGCAATATAAACGGTACTTGCACATTAAAATCACGTGCGATAATTTGACATTAGTCTCGTATAACGTCTCGATGCGCTTCGAAAGTATTCGGATAACTGGTAAACTTGTATGATCCATGGGGGATTCAAATAGCTTAAACTTAACTTTCGTTAATGCAACATCGACGAGATAACGTTTTCACCCCGACTCGTGAACGGTGTGGAAACTTTCTATGCCAACAGCCAGTCTGATTGTGTGCGAGTTAATGCGAAAGTGTGAAAATCCCCCTCGACTGGGCTACACTATCCTAAATTTCTCTCCGAAACCCTCCGACTGATTAAAGGTAATTTTATTATCTCAATAATGCATTCGTTTTCGCAATTTGTTTCAGCGCAAAACGTTCCCAACGCTGGGTGGTCGTGTTCGTTAGAATTTCTCCGTTGTAAAAGCATTGTCTAATCTCCGTAGGAAGAGCAAACCCCAATCTCATTTCGTCCTCTTGATATTTTAGAAACTCTCGCATTTCCCTAACTTCTCCTCAACAAAAATTTAAGGGAGAGATTAACGTCAGAACTGAAATTTAAAAATTCAAAAATTTTCGAAAGGGAACTTATATTTTAAACGCATCCAGAGTTAAATCCAGTTTTAATCTTCCAATATCGCTGCGCTTTCTTCGGCGTTTCCTTACGTAACCGAGTTTCCGAGTTAACGATATAACACGTGACTCGCGTCCACGGGAAACCGCTTTCACGGGCGACTTCGCGTCGCATCTATAATCTATGAATATATTACTCGGAATCTTTGTTCTCTCGTAATCGTTTTCTAATAAACGTCACTGGCCGCTTCAGCTTTAACTCGGCGCAATATTTTATGGCGTTGGATGAATATTGTTCGACTAGGACTTTACGTGGCTTTGAGAAGTTTTAGGTTCAATTAGTTTATTGAAACGGAGGGCGGGGCGGTCGTAACGGTACGGTACTATTACGAAGTTTCCACGGGTCGTAAAGCGTCTCCATCCGTGCCACCTATTTCCCGTTAACTGCGAGTAACAAAGTGAATACTCTGGTGTTGTTCCTGTTTTCTCTTTTCCGTGTCCTCGATTCGGCTGGCGTCTGTTTTCGGCGAGGCATTAAGCCACGTAATTTCGAGGCTGCTTTAACCAAAGCGACAGTTCCCCCCTCCCCCCCTTTTTTTTCCTCTCTTCCTCTATGTCTTTCTCTTTGGGGATTTCCTCTTCTTTCTCTTTAAAAGCTACGCGACACTTTGCATAATACAACAGCGCTGTGTTTGCACACACGTCTCACGTGTCACCATGCGTTTTTGTTATGTCTTGGTTAATACGAGGTTGACCTCTCAGGAGGTATGAATATCAAAAATATAACGCGATAATACACATACACACAACTCTCAGAGACGATCGTGCAAAAGCGTTTTTGCCGCATAATGAAATATGCGTCGCACGGGGAGGACGCGCGCGTGCGCGCGATTAGACAGCGACTTATCGAGAGAGAGAAGCTGTGGACAAAAGGTCTTACGTGAGGAACGTCGGACAGCAGCAGAAGTTGAGTGAGGCATTTCTCTGAAAACGGCGAAGCTGTTTTCATAAAGACTAATCGCATGGCCGATGAAAAATGAGAAGACCCGAGAGGGGCAAGATCAAGTTTCTCCCTCGTTGAGACGGGAAGTTCAACTCAGTTTTATTTAAAAAAAAAAAAAAAAAAAAAGAAAGAGGAGGAAGAGAGAAAATAGTGAAGGAAAGAAAGGAAAAAAAAAGAAATACAACTCTTGAGGCCATACGGGACAGAGACGCAAAAGCCTAACGTGCCAACAAAGTGCGGGAACATTTTGCACGCGAGATTAATCAGACGAAAAAACGAGGAAGAGAGAGAGAGAAAGAGAGAGAGAGAGAGAAAGAGAGAGAGAGAGAGAGAACGCGCAGCACGCTGAGAGAAACTCCTTTGTACTTGGAATAAAGCTTTTAACTTCCGCGATGTAACTCCTCTCTCTTGGTGTGGCTTATTAATGAGACGATGAAATGCACAAAATGCTGCACGTAGCGGGCGAACACACGCGAGCTAGGTACAACTCATGGAATGTACAAGTCGAAAGTGTACGAATTGGTTTAAGAAGAAACGTGTTCGTTAGAGCGTTCGTTAGTAGACGTCTGAACATGATAATATCGACATATCGACTGAAATTCCGTTAAAAGTAAATCGAGAGACCACTGGTGTGCGAACGATCCAATCGAAGATTCCAATAGTTAAATTTCGGGAAAGGATAATATCCAATTCTCTCAGCGCTGCAAGTAAGCGCATATAAGTAACATTAAATTAATATCAACGTCAGCCGGAGATAAACGCGGTTAATTAAAGTTCCTTTGTGATCTGCACTATAGGTATTATGGGTAACATCATGATCTTAGCAGATAGATGTATTGTTAATCGACTTTACAGAACTTCGAGGTAATCGTCTTCAAGTAGTTCGGGGCACGAGTTCACTGAACTAATCGAATTCAGAAGGGCGATTCGGAGCTATCCGGCAAATTGGAAAAAAGGTTGAGTGATAAGCACTTAAAATTACTTCGAAGTTTTTCTAAAATAATTTAGTTCCATACACTAAATATACAATATATAGAACTATATCAGTATACACACAATATACGGAGTGAAATTATTAGATTGCAGTAATCAAATATTTGGTCGGTAAATATTCAAATATTCAAATTTTAGTGCTTATCACCAAATTCCTTTTTCACTGTAGAAACCTTCAGATTCGTTACTCAACTTCGATTTCAACTCAAAGCGGCGAAGTATCTGATCGTAGCTGTAATTATCGTTCGCTCTCGTGGTAGTTTTACTTTTCGAAAAGGAAGAAAAAGGAGGAAGATGCCGAGATGTCGATCGATATCGGAAGAAGGATGTCGTCGAAGGTACGAGTTTGCGGTTCGTGATCGGAGGCGCGACGTCAGGTGCGTCTCGTCAGACGTCGGGGTGAGGTTATAAAGTTAAGCGGTTTCTTCTTCGAGGCATCAGGGGGAGGGGGAGGGCGGTGAGAAACAATAGGCGGGATTTGAAGCGAGGACGAGTTTATACACGGCTTACCGTCGCCGTGATTTATGATTCGAGCGTGTTGTTGCTGCAGCCGAGCGTTATCTTCCCCGTACCGGCGACGGTAACATTCTTCTTATCCGAGATCTGGATGTTCCGGTACCACGCGTGAGCCTTACAAAGCGTATTTAGCATAGTATTACATCGCTGAAACGTTATCCCCCGCTGCGACAGCGGCGTTGTGTGCGAGCCCGCGTGTGTGTGGCGAGCAAGGAAGCGAGGGGGAGGAGGTGTAAACCGTCTTACCGAATAATCCGATAGTCACGGCAGGAAGAATCCAAAATAGCTGGTAGCAACCGTTGATCGAACGAAGCGGGAAACGTGATCCCGTTCGACGGGGGAATTGCGCGTCCCCTTATCGTAATAACCAATTTTCGGTCTCGGATACAAAATGACGTTTCGCGCCGTCAGGCTTTACGAGCTGTCTGAAGGCTGTGAGAGAAACACG